CAAGCTATATATTTTGTTAGCACACCATTTGTTACTTTCTGGCAGAACAGGAAATCTTATTCTTTGATGACTTCCTTCATTTCCTGTATCTCTACATAATAAAACAACAACCATATATTTTATTTTGGATTTAGCTAAGCAAAGCAAAAAAATTATTACTTTGAATTTACATTTTTACTTTTAGGTGTTGAAAATGGGGAAAAAAAGATAAAACTTTTTTTTTTTTTGCAATTTTATTTTGAAACAAAAAAAGAAGCATATACAGATTGGAGGCTCCTTCGGGCCTTTTCTCTCTAAAACAGGTTTTAGGAGAAGCGTTCAGTATTAAAACAATAAATTAAAAAAAACCCTGCTGTTTTGATTTGATTACATTTAAACACCTGCTAACTTTTTAAATGAAGCTGTTCTGATTCTGGTTTCATCTTTCATGCATCCATTCAGGATCTTCTCCTCCACTCACTATCCACTCTTTTCAGTCTTCTTCCTCGTTTTTGTTTTTGTTTTCCACCTGTTCTTCTGCAGGATGACATTTGATGACTTCTGCCAGTACTTCACTGACCTCATCCTATGCCGCCTCATCAACACCTCTTACTTGAGCATCCACAAGACCTGGGAGGAGGAGGTGATGAGGGGGTCCTGGGTTCACCGTCAGGATCCACTTCGCAACCGATCAGGAGGCTGCATCAATCACAAAACCACCTTCCTGCAGAACCCTCAGGTCGGTTCACATGTTCTGGTTTTTAATGAGAGGTTAGTTGCTAGTGCTCAGGCGTTGTCTCCTTTTTGTTTTTTCTCCAGTATGTGTTTGACGTGAAGAAGGTGGAGGATGAGGTGCTGATCTGCTTACAACAAAAAGAGAAAAGAGCCACTCCTCAGGAAGGAAAAGGGGAAAACCTCGCTATAGGCTTCGATATCCACCAGGTAGAAACACCTCACCGGTGTCACAAAAACATGACGGAGCAAGAAAAACACGCTGCATACTTTCAATCCTGTTTCCATCCTTCAGGTCGAACTGAATCGAAAGTACCGTATGCACACAGCCCAGCAGAAAGTAGCAGGTTCCATCTACATCAACTCACGCTGCGTCTTCCTCAGGAAGGAGCTGCAGGAGGGTCGTTACGTCATCATCCCGACAACCTTTGACCCTGGGCAGCAGGGCGAGTTTCTGCTCCGTGTCTTCACTGATGTGCCTTCAGACTGCAAGTAAATATGTGCTAAAGCTGCCGCGGGAACACCAGAAGCAGCGTTTCAGGATGAGACGTCTGAGTTTTCTGTTCTCTGTGCTGACAGAGAGCTGACCCTGGACGAGCCTCCTCAGACGTGTTGGACGGGGATGTGTGGCTACCCTCAGCTGGTCACTCAGGTCCATGTAATGAATGCTGAGGGGCTGCAGGGACAAGACTCCAATGGAGGTAAGATACCGCTCTGAAAAGTAGCTGTAGTCCTTAACTTTGAGTTCATTTTTCTCCCAAAGACGTCTTATTAACTCCTGTAAATCTCAGTGTTGGAACTACAGCACCACCTAGTGAATAAGATATGTAGTTTAGTGCAGAGGTCCCAAACTTTTCCATATCATGGCCTCCCAAACAGCCGGTGAACCCCCTGCAAACCCACAAACAGTGCTACAAAATATGTAAAGAGACATCAACTTTTATTAGGTTTTTCCTTTCACTTTTATTCACTGTTCAGTAATTATTTTGTGTTCCCACAGAAAAAACAACTTATCAACAAACTGTTTATGATAAGAACAGAACAAAAGAAATCCACCCTCTCTTAAAATCTGTGTACTTTGCTTCTTTTTTAAATTTCAAAATAAAATCACAAAAAGAAAACAACAGTGTTATTTTTTTTTCCATTTTCAAAACCTAATTGTAAAATTGGTCTAATAAAATATTCAAGATTCAAAGTGTTTATTGTCAAATGCACAGATGAAAACATGTTTCCCTGAGCAATGAAATTCTTACTTTGTCGTCCATTTTGAATGCCAAGAGATAACCATATTAACAAAAGAAACAAATCATCACCGAAAGTACACAAACAATGTTGATTAGATAAAAAGAAGAGACTAAACTAAGGATAATAACATCAGAAGGGAACAATATAATAATGACAACAAGAAGTGAACTGTACAATCTGTTTTAAAGTGTAATGTGCAAATGTGGAACAGGTAACATAAATATCTACATACATACATACATACATACATACATACATACATACATACATACATACATACATACATACATACATACATACATACATACATACATACATACATACATACATACATACATACATACATAATATTATATCATAATAACTTAATAACCACATACATACATACAGTACATACATACATACATACACACATAAATATCTACAGTGTTTGATTTTTGCTTTGCTTGGCTAAATCCAAAATAAAATATATGKTTTTTTTAATTTGTAGTGATGCAGGAAACGACAGAAGTCATTAAAAAAAAGCGTTTATAGTGGTTGGAAGAAGATTGCTTAAAAACATAAACCATTCCTAAAGATATTATCAGCTGCACTCAAATCTTATTCTGCATAACTTGGAATATTAAAGCTGTTTTGTTAACAGTATAAATAAAACTTTTGTCAAATTGTCAGATGATTTCCAGTTCTGCCAGAAAGTAACAAATGTTTTGCTAACCAAATATAAAGCATTAACCAATAAAACAAAAACAAGTAGGGTTTTTTTATTTTGCTATTTTCGTCCTTTTTTTTTTTAGTTTTAAAACAAAAAATCTGAAAAACCATCATTTTGTTTTTTCTCATTTTATTTTGAAACAAAAAAGAAACAAAGAATGAATCTTACTTTTTTCATACATTTCTTAAGCTCTCTAAAATAACATATCAGTATATAAACATATAGAAATTATATTTTAAAATAATGATTGAATAACAGATTTAAAACATTTATTATGTTTTATTTTGTAAATGTTAAAAATAATAATTCAGTACTGTGCAGGTTTTGTCTTTAACAGATTTGTTGTGTTTTCTCTTTTGCAGCTGTTGATCCCTACGTGATAATTACCTGTGAAGGAGAGAGGGTTCGCTCACCTGTTCAGAAAGACACACGTTGCCCAAACTTTGACATCAAAGGCCTGTTTTACCGCAAAAAGCCCAAGGAAGCTATCCACATTGAAGTAAGCTACCACCCTCACTCCACACCTCACAACCTGTCATTCTTTAGACTGATACCTGTTCAAGGGTCTAATCTCTGTCCTCACTCCAATGTCCATGTCCTCTCTAACTCCAGTCATATGTCTTCTCTTTGTCCTTGTCTAGTCTCTAACTTTATCTTCATGTCATTCAGCCTGTGCTGTTCCTCTAATCATCTAAATATTAATTTTGTCCATACTTTTCCGACACTTCCTGTTCTGTCTCCTATTTTTGTCCACGTCTGTCTTCAAACCGTACAACACAACTGGTCCCATGACTCTCTTGTAAACCTTTCATTTTGAGACAACTCACCAACTGGTTTAAATACTGGTCAGRATTTCATGTTTGAACATGATGGGCACCAACATTTTGTTTTTAAACAGAACCACGGACTCTTTCAGTACTTCTCTCACTTGAACTCATGTTTCTCGCCTTCTTCCCTTCCTCCATCCTCTCCCTCTGTGAGATGATGTAACATGAGAATGAGGTCACTAAGAAAATTTGCAGAACATCCGTAACCAATCAGCTGCAGCTGGAGCATCAGGCGGAATGTGCAGAGGGATTTGTGCCTGCTAATTTAATGTTGCATTTATCAAAGCTGTGAAATTATATTATTAGTGAGGTGGTGAAAGAAAGCAGAGCCTCAGTATGACTGGATTTTCCTCTTTGCTTGTAGTTCAGGACATAAACAACTAGTTTTTTCTCCAAGCATTTGTTAAACACATGATTTTGTTGTTGTATACTTCCTTCTTGGCTTGAAAACTTTTTTATCCTCTATATTTTGTCAGTTCTTCAACCTTCTGCCACATTTAAATTTTTGTCTAGTTTCTCCTCGTTTTTCTCTTTCTCTTACTCCCTTGTCTTTTTTCTCTCTCTCTCCCGTTTTCCTCCTTTGCTGTCGATTTTCTGGCGAGCGGCGCTCAGCTCTACAACAAGAACATGATCGTGGACACCTTCCTGGGTCAGGTGATTTTGTTCAGCGAGCCCAACGAGCGTCAGGAGCAGCACACGCTTCACCTGCGCGACAAGGGCAGTCGTCAGGACAGTGACCTCCCGGGCATGCTCACTGTGCGCCTCTTCACCTCCACCACGCTCACCAACATCTGACCAGATCATTACCACGACAAGAAATGATCGAATTAAGTCCGCTGCTCATCTTCAGATGGTTTTTTTGGAGCTTGTCGTGTCCTGTTTTTAAATTATTTTTGATATTTATATCGTCACTGCGTTTTATAATTTGTTTTTGAATCCCTGACAGGAGTCATCGCTCATCCTTAAACATATTTCTGCTAAAATCGAACATTTTTAACTGTCTGACTCAGATTTGTTCTGAMATTAGGCTTAATTTTTTTTATTTAGTTGCCAGGATCTCCGTCATCGTCCAAGCTGATGTTTCGATCAGTTCCTTTTTTTGTGCAGACCCATACACGTAGACATGCACAGATAATACATATGCACACATCTCTGCACTCTCCTTGCATGTGCCAATTTTTTCAAGGGCTATGCATTGCCTTAAGGCTGAGTCAGTCTCTCCAGTTTGAGGAGATACGAGAGAGGGGGGGTCATGTAACAAACTTATCAGCTGTTCTCAGCGTTAGCACAGCCTCTATTTTCATTTCTTAAAGTCTGCAACTTGTTTTTTGTCTGTCATCCACCGTCACTAATCCTTTGGTATACCTGTGGTTAAACCCCGCCTCCCTCCTTCCCAGACACCTCATCTCTCTGTTGGCTTCTTTTTATTATTATTTTTTTTAGTGTGAACTTTACAAACAAAAGCCAACAGCAGCTGTGCTCTCCCTCTACCTTGAGCTTTTTTTTTAAAATTTTGATTACTTTTGCATTATGTGCGCTCGTGTGAAGTCCTTCCTTCCATCACTTCTACCATCCTGACTCCAGAATCGCTCGCCGCCGGTTGCTATGGACGATCTCTAAACTGCATGGCTTTAAAAACAAAAAAACAAAACTGTCTGCCTGTGCTGCACCTCTCCAGTCGTAGCTTAGCAGCCGGCGCTTCTGATAGTGCTASCCTCCCTCTTTGGATCACCTCCCCATCCCACTACTTCCTGCGGGAGATTCACTTCAACATGAATCAAGTGCTTTATGGGACCAAAGATGAGCCAGACCCTCTGTTCTGTTAGTTCTTGTTCAGAACATCCTGGCCCGGCCCAGCCCAAGCCTAGCTACAAACCACCACCCCCTGTGCCACATCATCTCTTTACGGCAACACCACTGCCTGACGCTTCCTTTGACGAGTCTCGTGGGTCAACCTGGAAAACTCACGTCACGTCATCTGAAAAATGAAAAAAATTCAAAAGACAGCATCTGTGTGTGTGTGWGAGAGAGAGAGAGATTGTGTGTGCTTGTTCCAGCTTTGCTTTGAGTGCTTGTCCKTTGAACTGAAAGAAAAATGGGCTGTCGTTGGGAAGGCGTGAACAGAACATGCCTCGCACTTTGTTTGGTTTTAAGACYCTCGAAGAGAAACGACAGAGGAGGTTCAGAGAAGGAGCTGTCCTGCCAAACAACCTGTGCCATCATCTTGGTCTTGGCTTTGCCTCCACAGCAGGAACAGCAGCATGGATGAACTTCTGATTTTATAAGTTTTTTTTTTGCAAATTAAACCACAAGTGGTACAAATCTATCTCGTGTTAACCATGACAATTCTCCGATCATGTGACCACCCATTCTAACCTTTTTACTTTACTTTTTGTTTATTGAAAAGTGCAGACTGAGTTTTCTATTTCTACACTTCCAGTCTCACTTTGTTTTTTTGTTAGGATTAAAAATGTACTTTACTGTCATCATCGAGACATTTCCTTTGAATGTAAGACGATTCGTGGACTAGTCTGTCTGACCACCTATCAGATCAGTTCTCCTGGTTTCCTTTCAGCGCCTTTTATTTCTTTTGATTACTTGAACTGTCTGACATGGCATTTAACTGGTCACACAGATTTATGTACAGCATCCCTATAAATGTGTCGTGCATGAGTTACTTTCCGATATGTTCATGGCCTTGTATTGTACTGTTCAATTGTTACTATATATATTTATTCTTTCTATTCCAAATGTCTTGGAAATGCTAGTTTTGAGGAATCAGCATGTCGACGGTGCATCTCATTTCAGTCTGATCATATCAAACGGTTTGAAACAGTCGTCTTGTATTACAGTGATACATTCATTATGCCTCTAGCATCTGTGAACATTAGCAGCAGTTGTTGACTACTATCTAGGTGCTACTTATCTCTCTGCTCTTTTTTTATTTTTATCCAGTTTGACAGAAAGTGAGAGCTGATAATGAAAGCCTGCAGTCAGTGTCTCAAACTGTGTGTGCCAAGCTGTAAAAGATATAAAGTATTGTTGGATTTTATYTATAGACATATGAGGAGAGGGAAAGAAAGGAGCCACATTCCCTTAAAACGTACTGTTTAAGTGTCCTTGTGCAAGGTACTGGAGCCCAAATTGTAGTTGAATAACTCAGTGTAACTTCTGGGACTTTAATGTCTTCTGGTTGAAAGTGTGTTTTATCTTTTAAAATCAGCTGCAAATAATTAACAGAAAGATGGATGAAAGGTTTAATGTGAGGAATGATTTGTGCCAAAGGTATCGTTGAGACGTGTCGGTCGTTATGGAGCTTCAAATAGAGTTTAAAAATAAAATAAAATATTTACTTATCTGAACCTGGAAGCCTTGAAACATTTACCTTTTTAAATGGTTAAAACCTCCTGGTCCCTCTCTGCTGTGCTTCAACCCTTCCAACAAAGTTCCTCTTCTTCRCCCCACCTCTGTCAGTGTGCCCCAGGGCAGCTGTGGCTACAATGTAGCTTACCATCATCAKTGTGTGAATGGGTGAATGTCTGTAAGTGTAAAGCGCTTTGGGGTCCGGAGGGACTTGATAAGGTGCTCTATAAGTTCAGTCCATTTACCATTTCTTATTTCTGGACGCGGATGAAGAAAAGGTGTCTTTGATTGGATAATGTTTTAAAATATAGCCTAAATCTTATCTTAGATTGACACAACTTACATAAACGCCTCACAGAAGAAGCACCAGGAGGAACCGGATTGATTTTTTTTCACTTTCTTGTTTTTGAGAAAGTTTTATTTTTAACTCGTTACCAAACTCAGTTTTAAAACAACTCATTTTTAAATATGTAACAAGTCCGGCTCATGTTTTCCCAGTTTGTTTTAATTTTATTTATAAAAATCATGCCTTCTGCTCTTTTAGATCATTGGACATTAAACTTGGTTTTAAGACCAATTAAGTTTTAAATTGGATAAAAATGATTGGCATCTTTGAGGATTATCAAAATACCTTGTATTGCATTGATGCTGTTGTTTCACGTTTGGAAAAAGTAATGCGATTTAATTTTTAAGGTGTCAGATTTCTAATGCAACATGCCATAAATAAATTATACATAGTACGTTGTTAATTAACTCATTTTACACGTTATTTCGTGTTTAAGCAGTATTTGACTGAGCACCTTCCAGCTAATACATAAATAATTTGAGATCAAGACTGCAGTAAAAAATGTGCTCGTCAGCAACACAAACAGGGTTGGTTTTGCTGCATTTTACCAAATTATCTTTTGTGTCTGCTTACCTTTGCAGAACAACTAATTAGAAAGCCAAAGCTCAATTACAATATTATAAATAATTAACAAACAATGAAGGTGCCACAAAGCTTCTGTTTGATAGCACAATCTTTAATCCACGATGGATTTTACATTTTATTTTCTGTTCACCTGTTGCCAATATTTAACTGAGGTTTAAAATTCAGTTTTTGGCATCAACCACCTGTTCCTCTGATCATGTGTACGCTAACAATCTGACGGCTCTGACTGCTGGGAGGGTTTGAGGTGAAATGTGTCACTCAAAAGGTTCTTATCCTAAGAGTTAAGAGTAGACCGTCGAGCTCTTTGTGAAACGGGGTTTGAGATCYAGTGCCAAAAACACAGATGAGGTGGTCGATGAAAGGTTTTTGGTTTGGCAAATGTTTCGCTCACCACTGTGTATTTTAATTTAATTTATGTTCATGTGTTGTTGTTATTCTTAATAATCGTTGCACATAGTGAACCTTTGCCAAAAGTGTTACGGCTTTCACTGTTAAACACACACACACACACACACACACACACACACATACACAAACCCTCCAGCTAGTAACCTAACCAAGCTTGATTGGAGTGTCTGGACCTTGAGTGTGGTTTTTTTTTTTTTTTTTGAAGTAGTTGCTTTAAAGCTCAACTCTTCTGTACATATTTTCTGCATGGCCGGGCCAAAGCAGGTTAGAAGAATTCAAAGCTAATCTCCCAACAGCGGCGACTTTTATACGAATTAAAAAAATGACAGTGCATGCAGCAAAGAAAGAAATAAAAACAAACGCTTTTAGATCTGTTCAAAATCATCTCAAATCACAAAAAAATACGTTTGGTTTCACAAAAAAAGTTGTCCAATTATAATCTGACGTTGCTACTCTGATAAACATACTGTGTAGTAGGAGGCCTGTGTTGCACCTCTGCATGCATCAAAACTGTATCCAGTTTTCTATTTTTTGTACCCACAGTAACAGTATGTTTATGAAAGTTGCAGCAACTTATCAGTTGTGGGATCCATGTTTTGAAGTATTGTAATCTGGACATTAACTTTTAAAAAGAAGCTGTTTTTGTTTTACTCCCATGATGATGTGTGAATTATTAGAGTCACAGATTTTGGTTAATCTTTTCACTGAATTTAAGAATTACYGGAGTCTTTGAGACTTGAATTGAGCCTTTTTAGGTCACATTTAAAACCTTTGACCTGCTGTGTCTTTACAAACATTTTATAGCTTGAACGTGATAAGTTGAGGCCTTGTGATGGTGAGCCTATATATTCAATAAAAAGCTGATTTATTGATTTAAAAGCTGATTAAAGTTTTAAAAAACATTTTCACATGTAAGCGTAAACAAAGTGAAATATATCCAAGATCTCTGAGGCTTTTCTTTTATGAAAAAAAAAAAGCCTGAATCTGCAGGTTGGTTATCTTAATATAATAATATAATATATAATTTAATTAATACACAAACACCTACTAGGAAAGATGAGTTAAATCAAAGTTCTTCTTTTTAAACTCATCTTTCCTAGGTGTGTGTGTATTCCAAACTGCGAAGGCAGCGCACGTCGTTGTGCAGGGCCCTGGACATTCGTTCCCCCGTGTCTGTCATGTGTATGTGTTTCTTTGGACGGATGTTCAAAACTGCAAATTTCGTTCTGCATTACATCTTGATGTTGTGTTTGAATGACAAACGATTCTTGATTCTTGATTTTTGATAATTCAGTGAAAAAAATGAAGAACGCTCTGACAATTCCTACACATGATGGGAGCAGAAAAAATGCAAATTGACCACACTAATTTACGTGTTGGTTTTTAAGACTGTTGGGTTTAATGTGTCACATCTCAACAAAGGACCACTCCTGCGCTGATTTATTTTTTAAAAAGCCTTGTCAATTTGAACACAGCTGCACGCATTTTAAATAGATCCAGAGACAAAGCACCAAGTTTCTCAAAAGATCGCATCACGTCGATTTTAAATCCAATTTAAAACGGATGTTTTTCTACCCGAGATCGAGTCTTGTCTACTGAAGGAATGAGCTAATGATGATTCTTGTATTTTTCTGCCAATGTTTATTAACTGGAGACTGGAATACCTACTGCATGGTGACTCTTCTAGGAGATACTACCGTATTTGTAACAAGTATCTTTTATCAGTATTTTATAAGCTTGTTAATTTTATATATCTACCTTACCTTGCGTTCCCAACTGGTATGTTTACTGATAGCTAGGTATCAGAGAGCCGTGCTGTATGTTCTGTACTGTGTGCTTGTCAGTGTGTTCTTTTCAGTGTGAAGCTTTACTTCTTTATTTTAAATTTTWAATTTATTTATTTATTTTTACAGCGTGTTAGTTGAGTTTTGGTTCTCGGTTACACTGTGGTTATTTTATAGCTCCAATCTGAAACTATTATTTTTCTTTTGTATTTAATGTCAACTTGTGGCATGACTTTGAAATAAAAGAGGAAAAATATTATCTGGGTTTGTCGTCATTGTGTGAGAACTCCCATCTCCTGATATTTATCCACTTTTTTTTCTGCTCATGACCTCGGACCAGTAAATGAAGAGCTTCATCTTTTGACATGTTCTTCACCAACCGAAGCAACGACCTCATTACTGCTCTGTCCTACCATCCTACCTACCTTAACCCACATAGCAGACAGGTATGGGCCAGATCTGGCAATGGTGGCACTTTTTTTGTTTGTTTGTTTCGTTGTGTTTTTTTTTAATGACATGTTACAACTGGTCCAGTTGTGGTTTGGTTTATGTAGTTCTGGTCCCTGTATGAACCACCTCTAACAAACTGCGTCTTGGCTACCAAAGGACAGTCATTCTTTGCGGTGTCTGGGCCAAGTGTTGGTGTGCAGTGTGGGCCAGAACTGGGCCATGAGATGGAGTCTTCTTTTAATTTTTTTATACCTTATACATTAGCAACGGAGTCAATATGTCTTAGCTGGAGGATGAACCATTGAAATTACTAAACATGTAGTCCCAAAGAACCACACTGAAGTCCTGACTTGATTTGTTTTGTTTTCTGACAAAAGATAAACAAAAAACTGTAAAAAGAGAAATAAACACTGTGAACAGGTTTGTTTTGAAGTATAGTTGAGCACAGAGACAATGAGAGAATTGCATCAGTTATAACAATGTCAAAGCACTAAATAAGACCTTTACATTTAATAATGCAAGACCAGAGAGATGCATCATCCTTCAGGTGATTAACTTTATGCCAAGTTTTCAGCTGGGGAAGCACCTTGTAGGTGATAAAATCCCATTTTCAGCCCAACGGTTACCTTTTTGTATTTTCGTTATACAAATATTTGTTTTGTTTTAAAAAAGTGTAAAAATTCAGCTTAAAGTTGCCTGATATGTGTTCGTCCCTTCAGATTAAGAGTCTTTGTCTGATTCATTAGTCATAGTTAGGTGGCTTAATAACCAGGAAAGAAAACTTTCCTCTAAAAAAAAAAAAAAAAAAAGTCAGGTACTGGAGTTAATTCAAAGAAACCATTGAAAAACTAAAAACAATATTTCTCCAGACCCTTTTAGACAGTTACAAGAAAAGTTTGACTCCTTGAAAGCAGACCTCCCCTCCCCACCTCCCATCTGCTCTCAGTTTTCTGCCACCAACAGGCTCCGCCCCGAGTTAATCAGGATCAGCAGCCATGAATGAGACCCAGCGAGAGAGTCCGGAGATCTCCATCACTGACCCAGACATCAGGCTGAAACTGGGCCACAAACTCTGAACCAACCTGATGGAGCCTGGAGCCACAAGAGAAGACAAACCTCTGAGAATGATTTAAAAAGAGAAGAGAACTAAAGACAAAAAGGACAAACAACTTGGCGGGATCTCAGTTGACCATCCTGTCAATTCTGGTTYGTTTAAAGGAAGTTGGAACCCAGCAGGGCGACCAGGAGGACTAAAAGGAGACGTTACAAAGTACGTTGTGAGGTAAGCATGGCAGGTGAACTTGGGTCGAGGCCGAGGGCTTATTAGCCTGCAGCACTGCTGCTGCTCTGCTGTAGCTTTGGATAAAGCCTCTTATTGCTCACTTTGTCCTGTGCCAGCCTTTAAAGCAGCCATTATGTTCCCTACAAGGAACTGCATTTTGTAACGTTTAATTATTGTCACACCAAGTACTGTACATTTGACATTTTATTTTTTCCATCGTTCCCTATATAAATTGTGATTTAAGCTCTTGTTTTTGGAGAGTTTCAGTTCATAATAAAGGAATAAAAGCAGATTAAAACTGCTGGTTCACTTTAGGAAAACTTAATGAATAAAAAATACCTTGCAGGATCAAATTAGGGACTTTGGTCCTACTTTGCCTGCCTTCTGTTGAGATTAAACATGTAAAACGTTTGTTGGGAGTAAATCAGAAGGGTTTTTTTATTGCTGAAAGGTGAATCTGTATAAAATTATAGAACCTTGTGTAAAATTTTAAGTGTTTACGGGTGTTATTTTTGCTTAAATAATTTGTATTAATATGCTTATACAGGGTTCCTGCAGATCTCTTAAAGTCTTAAAAGGCACTGAATTCATCAAAAAAAAAGGCTTTAATTAGCCTTAAAATGTCTTAAATCAATTTATCAGAGATCTTTAAAATGTTTGAAATTTATGGAATGCCTCTCGCAGCTTGTTTCATTAAAATAAACACTTAAAAAATGGTTGCTAAATTTTTTTTCAATGTTTGTGTTTATTGTGAAATTGGTCTTAAATTTAATTTCAAATGGCATTAAACAGCCTTAAATTTAACTTGTTTTAAGCTGTAGGAACCTGTTATAGGGATGGATTTGTAGTTGATTCAACAGGCTGCAGTTATTTTGGCAGCTCTTAAAATTTTGTGTTACAGGTCTCAAAAATGTAAATGCATTTGTTCTTTTTAAGTGAACCTTTCTCTGYAGTTTGTCAAATTATTTATCAAATATACCAGATTGTTGCCTCTAATGTGAGTAAATGAAGGGAAACTTCATGACAATAACTTTTACTCTTTCCCAAATTAAACGTGGTTTGACAGTAAATACCCAGTCGACATGTTTGCAGTAATATTAGCCTTGAATAGTTTATATAGTTGTTTTTTGGGGATATTTTCAGACTTTTAAATATGAATAAGAGGTTACTTTAAATACAGCTTACAACCCCTAGATGTAAGCCTCCTCTTAGGTCTTGTAAAGCTATTTAACCCAAAGAACTTCAGCTGGTCCAAGTGTAATTAAAGCACACTACTTTATTTAGAAAGTTATTTTTATTTGCTGCAGGTGTAAAATGCAGAGCAACAATAAAATCTTAACTGTTTTTTTTTTTTTTTCAAACAGTGAACGGCAGCGCTCATGGAGGCAAATCTCCTAAACTTTCCTGACTAATGATGAAAGTTTCACACCCAGCTGTGCCTCTGAATCTCTGCCATGTGAGTTGACACACGGCACGATGTGCACGCACTCATTAGAATAACACTTCAGACCACACAGACAGATTAACAGCCGGGGCATTAACAAGCAAGCTGGTCTTTATGTGAAAATCTTTGATGAGGTTGACTCTGGGTCTTGTGAGCCGAGGTGATTAGGTCTTTTTTTTCTGAATTCTGTTTTTTTTTTTTGACATCTCCACAGTAAATGCGGTGCTTTATTATTATGTTTAAAACTAAAGTAGCACGATTAAAAAAATAAAATAAATCTCAGCAAGCTGGAACATGACAAAGGGACGTGAGGGAGAAAAAAACTCAGTGGTATATTTGGGTCATGATTTGTGTAACGAGATGTGGGTAAAGGTTTGTTTCTCGCACCAGATTTGAGTAAACCCACAAATCTGGTGCGAGACCAGATTTGTGGGTTTTTGTGATTTTGACACCCTGTAGTTCAGGATAAGAAGCTCCACACTGGAATAAACTCAACGTATATTAAGACCAGCTGCAGACAAATAAATAAAATTTATATAAATCACTTTATTTAACTTGTAAAATTAAAGTATTTATTTGTACACTAATTTGATGCAGTCCTAGTTATAGACCACTGATTTGTTGTCAAAATTAATTAAATGTTATTTATTCATGATGTTTGAACTTCAACACTTAAAATTATCTTTTATTWCTGGTTATTAAATAAAACTTGAACAAAAAAATATGTAGAGCCGTGTCATAAAATTTGTTATTGAATTTATTTAAAAAATGTTACAGATTGTTGTTTCTATACCACATCTGTCAGTTTGGTTATTAAAGTGTACCAGAAGGTTATTTAYGTGTAATAGGTTCAAATGTAAACAATAGAAACAAAAGGACGACTCTGGTGGACAAAATGATTCAGCAGTTGTAGCTGCAACAACTGCGCCTCATATTTAAGTAATGGGATTAGCCCCAGGAATCAGAGTAAGCCTTTATAAAATCTCACAGCCAGCCCCCTTTAGTCCAGCAAATTACCCCCATCCCCAGTTCCCTCACTGGTCCCTTATTTTCAGCTCAACCACACGGCTGACKATTTGTTCCAACGATGGCACTGTTGGTGTTGATGTGGAAAAAAATAAAAAATCAGTTTCTGTGAGCGAGGTTAACATAACAGTCTGCTAAACCTCTTAATTCGATTCTTAAAACATGAATTATTCTTCATCTGGTCTAGTAAAAATGTTCAACTGAAAAAAGGGTTTTCTTATCGCTGCTGTTTTCCTTTAGCTAGGAGGAGTTTTGGTTATGTGAATATAGCATTTGAGCCAAAAAAAAAAAAAACAACAGACAACTGTTGATTTGCTCAAAGGGCTGCTTTCCTTGTTGGGTTCAAAAGGCCTGTGACATTAAATGTTTGTAATAAATATGAATGCATTTATGGAAAGACAACATTGATAACCTGCTGCAAAACAAATTCCACGCYGCTGAGATGAACCGATCTTGAGATATTGACATGTGCTGTAACAGGAAGTGATGTCAAAAGAGAATGTCTGAATGTAAACAGAGCKTTTCTACAACTAACACAGATTGTAGAGAAGAATGAGATGTTTCTTTAGATTATTTTGTGTCCCTATCAGAGAGAAAAGAAAGAGTTCAAACAATGTTTCAATATAAAAAAGACCAGAAAGTTTTTTTTAGAGTTCCCCTTTGATGTCACTTCCTGTTTCACTTTGGCTGAGCCAAGTTTAAAATAAAATGTGATCAAATGCATAAAATCATGTGCATTATGTCAAAGTTTCTTAAAGACAAAGATGTTTTCTTTGCCTTTTTGTCTTTGAAAGATATTCATGACACTTTAACCTTCTACCATACTTACAAAACAAAAAACTGAACATTAATGAACAAAAACATGCATCAGCTCATACAAATAAGGACAGGAAATTTAAAAAAATACACGACTCAGAAATATTAAATCTTTAGTGCCAATTGGTGACCTCCAGCAAACCCAGATTTAAGTGTATTTTTAATTATTTATTTTATTTATTTTCAGTGCTCTGACTCGCTGATTTCTGATGTCCTGGAATCAACTGGAAACTGAACCATGGTCATTCTGCAGCAGGTAGGTCCTGTTGAGTGGAAATCACTTCATTTTCTCCATTACTGGTTCACCGTTTATTTTTCAGTTGTTACAAAATGCTCAGTTCTTGTCATATTCTCTTTAATTGCCATAACTCATGAGTTTAGAGAGGAAAATACAATTTAGTCTTAATTTAGTCTTTTAAACAAGCTGAAGGATTTTAGTAGAGATTAACAGTGGCTGATTACAGTTAACTAATCCTAGTTACAAACTAAACAACATTTTCAGTCTTCTATGTAGAATCCAATAAATAAAAATTTAAAATAATCGTCCTAAACTGCAGAACACTGTTCTCACACTAGAAGGTTTATTTGACATTTTAAGTTTTTTTGTGTGTGTGTTAAATGTATCTGCAACCTGTTAAATATATATATATTTTTTTTCAGTTTGTTGAGTTGTAGCTATTGGCTCTAGATATTTCCTGGAGCTAAGTTTCTAGTTGGGGGATTTGTTTCAGGGGAACTGAAGAATGTTTCCAAAGCAACAAACAGTTAAAATTAATGTTATGTTTATTATCTGACATAAGGTAACAGCATTTCTATTAATCCATTTTAGTTAAAATATTGTTACATCTTCACTTCCATAGTAAAGATGCTTTTGTTCACTGAAGAGTGTATCTTAAACAGTACTAAACTATGTACTTGTACTTCCTTTTTTACTTTTCTTAATGTTGGTGTTAGTGGTGAAGATTTATGAATCTTATCTTTCAGTTTTAAGTGTCTTTCATCTGAATGTATAAGTTTATTCAGGTATTTATTGTTGATGTTCTGGTTGTTGGACTCAAAGGATGAGTTTCATTTTAACATAGGTTTAGAAACCTTTTGTTTTCTGGTTTATGGGTTTTTAAGTGTATTTTAATGATTTAGAAGTGGGCCTGAATATATCTAGACCACAAYGCATCACAAAATACTGACTTGGAGCGTCAGCATGGTATCTGTAAACATGTCTGTCCCGAGCGATGTCTCAATCAACACGAAGATTTAAAGTGTGCAAGATGAATATTGTTAGAAAAGCTGATCATAACTTTCATATGAGAGTTTAAACCTCTTGTGGTCAAAAAATTTTAGAGGTTTTATCTTGAACATTTTAGGCATTTAGAGATAATGGAATTTTCCATTTAAATATAGAAAGGTGCAGCAGGTTTTATATGAAGCTGTTTTTTGTTGAAGATTTATTAATCTCTACATCAACCTTGTCATCACTGCTGTTCATGAAAAGTTTTGTTTAAAACCCAGATTAGCAGAAAGCAATTAGAATATCAGCTAAAGATAAGAGAGATAAATGAGATTATGWCGACAGCTAAATTAATTTAAAAGTTTTGTGACTTTCTGTTTTTGTCTGACGTCTTTGAAAACTTTCAAACTGGATGGATTTTAGAGGTTTTTTTATGTAAAGACATTAAAAGGAAACTCCAAGCTTCAGCTGTGAATCCAGATGAACAAAATAAATCTGAAGCTGAAATAACACAACTTTAAAGTCACATTCTAGACCGTAGAGCCGATAACTGAATTTGTGCCGAAGTCTTTATTGGAATGAAGAGATTTTTTTCCAGCAGCTTCCTTTTATTTAAAAAATTTAGACCTTTCAACCAGTCGACACTAGCTGTCGCCTCTAAAACTACTGAAAATATTTGACCCAGACTAAAACATTCAGTGATTAATTGATTAACTTTGGTTCTTACCTCCAAAATAAGAGTTTTATCTTTGCGTTTTGTCATAAAATGTGTTGAAATTTGTTTTGCGGTATTTATAACGTCCTAAAATTTCTACAGGGCAGATTTTTTTCACCTTTGAAGATGTTTGAATTTTTATTTTAGTTCTAAAATCTTGAATTTAAATCTTTGCTTCCTAAATGATTCACTTCTGGCACTTTTAACATTTATGATGTCATTTAAAAGTTAAAATATTTTCAAATACATGGAAGCCGAAGAGATGTTACAGATGAGGAAGAAGTTTTACTAAATATTTTACTAAATTTTTGCGAAGGAATTAAGATTTTAAAATACAAATACATAACACTGGATTTCAGGAAAATATTATTTTATTGTTATTATTATTAACCCTAATTCCAACCTGAGACATGAATGCAGAAACTTTTTTCATTGTCTTTCTACTCAAATTTCTTACTTTACAGGTAAAAGTTTTCTTCTTCAGATAAATAATCTTGTTTGAGCAGCTTAAAAAAATCTGACTTTTGTGATTATATTTTTCATGCCTTTCTGGTCTAATTATTTGCTGTTTTCAAGCTCAGACAAATAATATATCCAAACCAAATAGTAACATGTTTTTTTAATTTTTGAGATTAGTTTTTCCAACTAATCTCAAACTGATCTGTTTAATTATTATTAATTTACAGAGGTTGAATAAGACCAGAGTTAACATCAGCCTGTTGGTTTTCTCATTATAATAAATAATATAATTAACATATAATTAACATTTAGCTCAAAGTTTAGGAATATATTCAAAGTTATAATGTTTTTAACTTATTTTAGTTCTATTATATTTTTAAAAAAGCTCATTGCCAAAGCACCAACATATAACAAAGATAAGTTTTTATATTTTAAATTTTATTTAATGTGTGTAAGTCTCCGTTGCATACTCTGCTCATGTTATGTCAYGGCCACTTTAGTCTATCTTTCTGTTTTGAACCTGTTTTTTTGAGAAAATCCTTCCATTCAATAAGCTGCCAGGAGAAAAGTAGGTAACTTCWGGATCTGTGCTGTAACTCTGTTACCTCCTGGTTATTCAACGTGTGTTAGGCCTCCTTATTCCCCAGAAAAACTGCCTCTTTTGTTGCTTACCTGTGGTCGAGTCACGGGGGAAACAGAAAAACCCAGGATTCAAGGATGTTAAAATACCTTTGTTTAATTCTCATTTGTAAATCAGTTGTAAAAATTGGTGTTTTTCTTTTTTTTTTTTTAGGGGGACTATGTGTGGTTGGACCTTAAGACGGGGCGAGAGTTTGACGTCCCAGTTGGAGCCGTGGTGAAACTCTGCGACTCCGGACAGATCCAGGTTCTGGATGATGAAGGCCGGGTAAGTCGTCAGTTGGTTTCAGTCTGGTCGTTTCATTTGCTTAGAAAGCAGAAGAAAATGTGAAATTTTCACTTATGTAAACTAAACTGTGAAGTCCAAACTGAAGGAAAAAATCAGTTTTTGACTGAAAAGGCACAGGTTTAGATCTACTTCCTGTTTCTTCACTCTGACAGGAACACTGGATTTCCCCTCAGAATGCCACCAACATCAAGCCCATGCACCCGACCTCCATCCATGGGGTGGAGGACATGATCCGACTGGGTGACCTGAATGAAGCCGGGATCCTCCGCAACCTGCTGATCCGCTACAAAGAGCACGTCATATATGTTAGCGACACGCGTCACACCCCCGCCGCTCCCATCAGAACACAGGACAGAAACATGAAATAAACTCGCTGTGTGTTTTTGTTTAAGTCGTTTTTATTTGTTTCTGGTCTCCCACAGACGTACACAGGTTCCATCCTCGTCGCTGTGAATCCATATCAACTGCTGCCCATTTACACTCCGGACCAGATCCGCCTCTACACCAACAGGAAGATCGGAGAGATGGCGCCACACATCTTCGCCATCGCTGACAACTGTTACTTCAACATGAAGCGGAACAACAAAGACCAGTGCTGCATCATCAGGTCTTTAAACCTCTTTTTTTTTCTTTATCAAACACGTCGTAGATTGTGTGAGGGAAAATAAAAACTTTTTTCTGTGTGTTGCAGCGGTGAATCTGGAGCTGGGAAGACCGAGAGCACCAAGCTGATCCTGCAGTTCCTGGCAGCCATCAGCGGGCAGCACTCCTGGATCGAGCAGCAGGTCCTGGAGGCCACGCCCATCCTCGAAGGTCAACATTTATCTGCACGTTTCTCCTGTTTCAGCTGACCTACACTGACTTCCTGTTGGTTTTCTCTTCTTTTTAATTATTATCCATTTTTCATTCATTTAAAAACAACAAGTCCATTAAAAAAACAAAGTTTATCAATTACTGAATGAAAAGGGTGCAGAAAGAAGGGGAAAAAATTATATCTGCCATTTATTAAAAAACAACTTTGGACAAACAAGAACTTAAACTTACTTTTTAAAGTTTTAAATTGCCAGGAACACATTTATTTATTGTTCTGTTTTTTTTAATCAGCTTTTGGCAACGCCAAAACGATTCGAAATGACAACTCCAGTCGCTTTGGGAAGTACATCGACATCCACTTCAGCAAACGAGGAGCCATCGAGGGAGCCAAAATAGAGCAGTACCTGCTGGAGAAGTCCCGAGTCTGTCGACAGGTGAGACACCAGGCGATCCCACTGCTCCCATCAGCAACTGTTTACAGGAAATGTTAGATTAGATTTTTGACCTACAATGTGTAATGGGCGATACCTTAACAGCAGATTTTATAGTAATTTACAAGTGAAGTAAGCCTTTGTTATTATCATTAAAAATATTAAAATATTCATTTTGTCACACTAAAAGGAGCTGTGGATGAAGTTCTAATTGTCTGTTTAAAATTTGAGTGATGTTAGAACAGCATTATTGGACAGTATTGAGTCTAAAACTAAGTTTTCTTTTTAATCATGTAATCTTTGACACAATGACACAAAAAAAACAGTCAATGTTTTTGTCCTGCAGGCTCCTGATGAGAGGAACTACCACATTTTCTACTGTATGTTGAAGGGCATGGGACCAGAGATGAAAGCTAAACTGGGTCTGGGTCTGGCCTCGGACTACTCCTACCTGACCATGGTGAGACTACAGCTGGACTCCTTTTCCTTATAAACAGCTGCATTTAGCAGACTTGAAAAAATGCTCTAAAACCCTGAATTTGTTGTCTTCTCGCACGCTTCAGGGTAACTGCACAGAATGCGACGGGCGTGACGACCTCAGCGATTACTCCAGCATCCTGTCGGCCATGAAGGTCCTCATGTTCACCGAGACCGAGAACTGTGAGATCTCCAAGCTGCTGGCTTCCATCCTGCACATGGGCAACCTGAGGTTTGAAGGTGTGTAAATAAAGCCCTGCATCATTCGCTGAGGATCTGAGGTTTTTAAACCACATTTAATGTTGATGTTTCCTACAGCGCGGACGTACGACAACCTGGATGCCTGTGTGGTTGTAAGATCTCCTGATCTGGTGACCGCTGCGTCTCTCATGGAGGTAAAATACTGTTGTCAACTGTAAATAGCTGCACTTGTTTTGTTTATTTGATGTAAATAAACATAAATATTCCAGGAGTGGTTTTCTTGGCAAGTTCACGATATGGTCAGATCATGAAAAAAACGCCAAGAGCTACTTTTCTGACCGAGTATAAACGGGCTGAAGATCCAACGGGGGAGAAATTATCATTTTTCTCCCACAGACTCCCAATGTAGCACCTCGTATAGCCTAGCATTTAAACAAGTGTTGTGCTGAGTGAAGAGTCTGAGGAGGAAAAACTTTTTTTTGTTGTTTTTTCTGGTTAAAGGCAGAGCTGGAAAGAAGGTGTATAATAGGTGTAATAGGTATAATATAGAAGGTATAATAGGTGTAATAGGCTAACACAAGCTGCTCATCAAAGCTGTGCATCTTGCTAATTTAACTTATGGGAATGGATCATTTTCAGCCAAATGACATAAAGAAAGCTGCGCTGCTTTGGGTGCTGCTCCACATTAAAGATCTGCTGCCACTCTTCATTAGATAAATATTTTTATAGTATTTATTCGTCTCATTTTAAAAAAACAAAACTTTACATACAAAAAAAAAAACAATACAAATTAAATAAAATGAAAGGCCGCAGAAGAAAAAGATCTTATATCTGCACATATTTACAAAAAAAATATATTAATTTCAAACAATAATAAACCAAATAATAAAACAAAACAAAAAATTCTGCTCTTCAAACAGTAACTCTTACAAATACAAATTAAACAATTTCATATTTCTTTAATAATTTTGCTTTGATCATTTTTTAAAAGGAATTAATTGATCCAATGCTTTTATTATCATTTTACAGATTATTCCATAGTCTTATATGCCTTACTGAAGTGCATCTGTGCTTCAAATTTGTTCGGATTTTTGGTTTAACAATTTTTTGTAGTCTCTTCAAATTATAGCAGTCTTAATTTCATTTCATTTCATTTAGTTTCATTTAATTTTAATTTTTTAGTTTTCAATTCACATTTGAACATTTAACCTGTTAAAATAGACATTAGTTTGATTTGCAAGATAATTTTAGAGCACAGAGTAACTAATTTATTCAAAAACATGCAAGTACAATTGTCATCTATCAATCGTCATATTAATCATTTTCGGCTAAATGCGCTTGGCGAAGCCTAGCTCTTTCAGGTCACAGGTCAACTGGGTAAACGAATGCTGAGGTTGCTATTTAAACACTATTGGAGTTGTGCAAGTTCAACAAACTCAAAAAGCAGATTTAAAGATAATTATGAAAAATCTCGTTAGTGATCCTAAAGAAAGGTTCAACACAAATCATTTTAAAGGAAATACATCGCCAGCTTTTTCCCAATAAATGTGAAGTTGACCCACTTCACACATGCGCATTTGTGATAATTTCCAACTACGAAATGGTCTGTTGTGATTATTTTTTTGTCAATATYGCCCAACCCTGGCTCTGACAGTTAACTGGGTGTTGTTGGTYGTTTGGACACACCCAGGTCAAAAGTTGAGTCTTAGATCGATGCACAGTTTTCTCATTTTGTGTCTCAGGTGGAGCCTAAAGACGTGATGGTGTGTTTGACCACTCGAACCCTCATCACACGAGGAGAAAGCGTCACCACGCCTCTGAGCGTGGAACAAGGCCTGGATGTCAGAGATGCTTTCGTTAAGGTAATGATCACTTCATAAAAATATCAGATCTTGTAAAATCTATGAACCTGAATTTATTGCTTCTCAACTGAATAACTTGTAAAATATGCTAGAACGTTGAAAAGCTTCCTTTATTTGTTCTGTGATTTGGATATTTTGTGTTGTTTGTTTTTTTGATTGCTGGAACTGAATTAACAAAGTTGATTTACTTGTGTTGTATGTTATGGTTCAGGGGATCTACGGGAGGCTGTTTGTCTGGATAGTGGATAAAATCAACGCTGCCATTTTTCGACCTCCGTCTTGTGAGAGCAGCATCATAAGAAGATCCATTGGGCTTCTGGACATTTTTGGTTTTGAGAACTTTATCGTCAACAGGTGAAAAATATATATTTTCCCTAAAGATGCGTGAAGCTGTTTCTCAGGAAGCGTCCGTTGATCCAACTTTGTGTCTTTCGCCTTAGTTTCGAGCAGCTCTGCATCAACTTCGCCAACGAGAACCTGCAGCAGTTTTTCGTTCGCCACGTCTTCAAGCTGGAGCAGGAGGAGTACAACCTGGAGGACATCAGCTGGCAGCACATCGAGTTCACCGACAACCAGGAAGCTCTGGATATGATCGCCAACAAACCCATGAACATCATCTCACTCATCGACGAAGAGAGCAAGTTTCCTAAGGTGCGTCACCAGAAAGCGTCATTCCAGAGCGGCTGTAGCTGAGATGTGCAACTTCTATATCTTGTTTTTTTTACGTCAGGGGACGGATGCTACCATGCTGTATAAGCTCAACTCACAGCATAAACTCAACTCCAACTACATTCCTCCTAAAAACAGCTATGAAACCCAGTTTGGGATCCAACACTTTGCTGGAATGGTGCATTACGAGTCCAGAGGTACGCTTCTCCTCGAGCAGCTTCCGTTTATATCATCTTCTCTCAGTTTGTGTTTTATGGTCATAACTGATGTTTATTGTTATTGTAGTCGAAGAATATTATTTCTCTTAAACCGTTTTCCTGGCTGCTGCATCTGTCCCTCCTTAGAACCTATCCAAACCATCTCAGTCTGTCCTCTCTAACTTTATCTCCCAGTCCTTCAACCTTTTCTCCACCTCCAAAGATTTCATTCCTTTTCTTCTCCATCCTCGTCCCTCCCAAAGAGAACGTCAACATCTTCAGTTCTGACTCTTCTAGTTCTGTCTCCTGTAAAGAATGATCCAGTATTTCATTCTGGTTTTTTTTTCTCAGGGTTTCTGGAGAAGAACCGAGACAGCCTCCACACAGACATCATCCAGCTCGTCCACTCGTCCAAGAACAAGTTCATCAAGCAGATCTTCCAGGCCGATGTGGCCATGGTAAGACCAACAAACACAGTTACGTCTGTCTTCTCTCCTCTGCTGTTTGAGGTCTTCCTGTTATAATTTTACCAGTGACTTTCTTCAGACGTCTTCCCTTCTGTGCTGTTTTCTTCTGTTCTTTATTTGTATTTTTTTCCTATTTCCACCTTTAACGTCAGTTTCTGTGTGGCTATCAGCAGCTCAGCGCCCCCTCTGCCAAGGTAAAAATCAACATCCTGTGGTTGTTTAACTGTACCCAAATATTCAACAACYAGTAGCATTTCTCTGCTTCCCTGAGTTTCACATTTTATTCCACAGGAGTCGTTTGTGGTTGCAGAAACCAGAGTTAATATAAAGAAAGATWCCATGAGCTAAATAAGCTGTGTGGCTGCGAGGTTCAGAGAAATGACAGAATAGCTACTTTAAMACTATTGAACAGATGAGTTTTACCTTGTACCCTGTTTTGTCTGTGTATTAGTAAATCCTGTGTTGTACTGTGTACCTGAACAAATTTATTTAAGTGTTGTTAATCAAAGCTGTCTTCCGTAATCAGGTTATAATTAAATATGGTCAGGAAGCAGATTTACAAACCTGAATCCTCATTTTTCACACAAAAATACAATTTATTGTTATAAATCAGTTGTTTGTGTGCTGAAGTCTTTGAAATAAATGTTTTATTTGGTCTAAATGTTGGATTTTGAGGTAGTGGTTAGGGCTGCACGATATTGGTAAAAATTGTCGTGATTTATTTTCTAACCCCGCGAAAAGAAAAAATACAGGAACTTTGAACAATCGATAAAGTGATGTAGCCATCCTGTTGAAGATAAACCTGCACTGATTTGGTGTTAAGTTTTTGTCTGCTTTTATTGTGGTATAACCTGAGTTTGTTTCCTTCTATCATGCGCTAAAGTGAATTGTCAATAAGTAAACTTAATGTGTTGCCTCTGTCAAGATTAGTTTCTGCTTTCGTTGTTAATTGGCATGCATGCTAAACTGTATTTTACCTCWTTTTTTGTCCTTGTCGTTTTCATCGACATCCTCGTCATCCTCCTCCCTACAGCTGGAGAATTCACAGACAACGGTTCTCTGAAGAACGCTGCCATTATTGTCCCAGAAGTTTTAGAACAAAATTAAAGTTTTATTTGGCTTTTTTTACTTTTTTTTTACACAAAGCCTCGGAGCTGGCAGAAGCGACTGCCTGCACCTTCAAAATAAAAGCCATTTAATGACTTGATTTAATTTGCTTGACTATCGCGCACTGCGTWCATCGGGATGATGATGCTCAGATGACATATCGTGCAGCTCTAGTAGGGATGTACCGACAGTACAACGTTCACTGTCTCTCTTTGTTGTTTTTGTTTCAGGGCGTCGAGACGAGGAAGCGTTCTCCCACTCTGAGCAGCCAGTTCAAACGTTCCCTGGAGATGCTGATGAGGACGCTCAGCGTGTGTCAGCCCTTCTTCGTTCGCTGCATAAAACCCAACGAGCTCAAAAAACCCATGGTTAGTCTGCAACTGAAGCCTGCTGGATGTGAACAGAAAAACATTTTTCAATCAGATTGAGCTGCAGAAAGAAGTAACTACGCAGGAAAGATGCTAAACAAAGTTCTCAGCTGACGTATTTGTGGCCTAAAAGTTGAAGAGTCTGATGTTTCTGTGCTTCTCTCAGCTGTTTGACAGAGAGCTGTGCATTCGTCAGCTGCGTTACTCGGGCATGATGGAGACCATCCGGATTAGGAGAGCAGGTTATCCCATCAGACACAGCTTTGCTGAATTCGTGGATCGTTATCGAGTCCTGATGCCTGGCATCAAACCTGCTCACATACAGGTCAGCAGCTCCGTTGGTAATACGTTTAGTGCTCTGTAAAAGTGCTCGTTTTGTTTCATAAATTATTACATTTATTGTCACCTTTACTGTGATTTTTAGATTGCACTGGCTTTTTTCACTGTTCGTCATTTTGACTGACAGGGTTAAAAAACATCCTGTCATCTTTATTTTTTTACTGATAATAATTACACATTTAATAGCTTTTATTTTCATTCATTTTAAATGAAATATTTAGTCAGCAAAAACTCCCACCAGACACAAACGATGTTGCCAAAAATACTAAAGGTCACAGAGCAGGAAGTACAGATTAGAAATTGAGGAAAGAATAAAATACATCGCACCTGATATCGTCATCGCAGTATTTTCTTATCTGGTGCAGCTCTTCTGTCACACTCTTTTCCATCTCTTTTTTTCAACAACATCATCGTTATTGAGCTTTTTGAAGAAACTTCAGATACTCCTCTGCTGTGATGATTTTCCAAGTGAAACTAACGAGGTCGTTCATGAAGTGAGAAAACAGCTAACTGATACGCTAACTCGCCACCWAGTGGTCAGGGGGGTTATTGCAAATTGTCAAAATGACGGATGGCCTTCAGATTTTTTGTTATTGTTTTTTTTWAAAAAGTGTTAAATATTCTGTCAACGAGACGCCTGATGTCAGTGTAACGTAACGTCTTTATTGTCCTGAGTCATCACTTTGATGTTTTTATCTTTTCGTTCAGGTGGACCTGCGGGGCACCTGTAAGCAGATCGTCTCAGCCCGCCTCGGTAAATATGAAGACTGGCAGATCGGAAAAACTAAGATTTTTTTGAAGGTTTGTATTTGTGGAGGCTAACTAGTCTCAAACTGATTCACTTTCTTAATGAGGGACAAAAAAACTAATTTTCTCCTCTGTGTTGTCAGGATCACCACGACATGCAGCTKGAGATCGAGCGGGACGAGGCCATCACTGATAAGGTCATCCTCATCCAGAAGGCCGTGCGAGGACTGAAAGCAAGGCAAGAGCTCATTCCTGAAAACAGATTTAACCTGATTTCTGATTTTTCTCAGTTGAGTCAAAGGAAATATTAAAGATTTATTTCTGAATGTTATTAAAAGCAGAGAGATTGTCCTCCCTGGACAAAGTAAATTTATTACAACACTTCTTGATTCTGCTCAGCATCTTTTATTTCAGAGTGAATTTGTAAATGAATCTAACCCTTTTTAAAATGCATATTGTTTTAAAATAAATGTAATTAAGTTTTTATCTTCATGGTTTGAAATTTTATTTATTTTCTTTTTCAGGACAAACTTCCTCAGAATGAGAAGAGCCGTGATTTGTATTCAGAAGGTCTGGAGGGGTTACCGAAACAGGAAAAATTACCAAATTGTGAGTCGTATRTATTTATACAGTTATCTCCATATTTTAAAAGTCTCAACTTCTCAAACTCCTGTCATCTTTTTACTTGTCATGAAAGATAGAAGTTTATAAAAAACCTGTTTTAAATTAAACTTGACCAACAACAATAACTGTTTGAAATTGTTTTTCTCCTTCAGATGAGGTCCGGCTTCCTTCGCCTACAGGCGGTCTGCAGGTCCAGGAAGTTCTACCGGAGCTACCGGGTCACCCGCCACCGCATTACCCTGATCCAAGCCCGCTGCCGGGGCTTCCTCCTCCGGCAGACATTCTGCCGCCGCCTCCGAGCCGTGTTGACCATCCAGGCCTACACCAGAGGCATGATAGCCAGGCGCCTCTGCCAGCGGCTCAGGGCTGAGGTAAATGGTTATTATGTTTATTATTGTTTCTTATTCCTGCTTGTCGACACTCTTGAGAGAGAGGGCTACTGGTTCTGAGGGGAAATTAAACGATAAAGACGTGAAAATGATAAAACATTCRGTTTAATGGAAGGAAGCTGATGTTTTATTCATTTGTTCACGTTGTGCCTTAATTAGATGTAACTCTGACATTAATTAAAAAGTCCTGCTGCCAGTCTTTTATTTTGAAATGAACTTTTCAGAAATATTAACAGTTTTGTATATTAGCTGTGGTGGCTGGTGGTCATATTTGTAGGGTGGGCTAACACATATTTAAAATAATACAACACTGCAGTTTGGACTACTGCAACAGCATCCAAATTAAATTAAAAATAAAAGCATGCTATGAATTAACATTATGTCCCTTTTCATTACAAAGATATACCACTACTAAAAAAACAAGCTCTGACAGTTGTACAGTACCTTATTCTCCTGATTTAAAGCTTTCAACTATAATTTCATAAAGAAAAAAAGAGTTTTGTTGGCTACACTTTTGTTAGCCAGCCCTAATTTAAATATTCTTTGGTCTATCCACCCCCAACCTCTTCCTTTCCAGTTTTTTCTCCAAAGACATGAAAGAAAACGGGTGAGAAATTAAGTAATTCACCTCGATTAGGCTAATCTCACTCGCCGTCGTACCAACTCTACACCAAACCACGTTGTTTGTTGTAAATTTTACAAAATGTGATACATTTTTATTATAAGCACCACTTAGCCTTACTAGCCCACTTATACCAGCCGTCCCTGGATATTAGTATTTCTAAACATTTTTTTAACTCCGCTCTCTGGTTCTTAATTAAAAGTCGAATCACTTTGTACTCGATGTTACAATGCTCTCTTTCAGGACTGTTTCTGTTTTGTTTGTGAGTCAGTTCATCCTGTTCATCCTGCTTTATGTGACAGAAGCTCCTCTACGTGTTGCTTTCTTCCCCCTTGACTCAAAAAACTACCATAGTTTTAGTTCAAACAAATGTGAAAATGCTTCAACTATAAAACAATAATCTGTTTTGTAACCTGATGGTCAATTTTTTTAAACTTTAACAGCATAGAGACATTTTACATAATAAAGATGTAAAGAGATTATTTCTGATTATTTCTTAAAATAACTGAGATTCAGCGTTAAAGTTTTAATACAAATGAAAAAGAGGAACGTTCTTTTGTTGTGAACTTTAGTAATAATAGAAATGAATATTTGTTCTCCCTCCAGTTTATATTGTTTTTACCAAAATTTCATCTATTAGTTTTTACTTTGTTAAAACATGTTTGATCTGTAATTTATAGATTAAAGGGGTTTGTTATCTTTTATATAMAAGTTTTACTAAATCACTGAAAGTGCTTTAATCCTTCTTGTCTCACTAAAATGTCTTAAAGAGCGACATTTTTTTACAGAAACCAGTCTACATTTTTATTTTTTTATCGATAAAAGGAGAGAAAAAATAACTTTTGCCTTTTTTGTCTTCTCGTTGTTAGTTTGTTTTATTTTTCTTTGCTATTTTTATTTTTTTATTAATTTGTTTTTCTTTTTCACTCTGATTTTTTACCTTTTGTCTTTTTGTTTTCTCTAGAAACAGTAAATAATGTTACAGATTATTTTTATGAGCCTTAAATGTTTTTATTCTGTTCTGCTTGTCTTTTGTAAAACAAATAAAGGTTTTTTAAAAAATGGAGAAGGTAACGAAACCACTATTTTTGGTGTTTATTCACTTATTTACAGGATTAAAATCTGTTGCTGCTGATAAGATTTACTCAAATCAGTTCCGGTTTAAAGACAACTGGAAAATAAGTTATAAATCAAAGAATTTAAAATAAAACTTGAGTTCATTCCTTATAAATCTGTCAATTATAAGATTAATACACTAATTAATCCTTTAAATGTGAATATTTCACTGTTTTTTTAGAGAAAACTGTCAAAAAATGGTTTGTTTAAAAAAACGTTTATTTATTCTTTTTTATTCTTTTTTTTACAGTTTTTCTTTGTTTTTTCTGTCCTAAATAATGGATGTAATTTTCCTATATCAGATTATTTTAATTATTTTTGATTGGAGTATTTATTAATTATAAGTTGAGAAAAGTTTGAACATTTTTCTAAAGCTAAGAAACACTAAATAATAATGTACTTCATATATTTTTTGGAATATCTTGAATCATTATAAATAAAAATCTAATATTTTTGGACTGAAAAGAGTTAAAATATATTTTAGGTGTTATTTCAGTAAATTTTAAAAATGTCTGAACTTATTTTGTCTTTTTTTAAACTCCCAAATATATTTTATTATTTACAAACTGAGGTTCAATTCAGGTTGTTTTACTTTAACCTGAGTTCTGACAGAAAAGACAAACGTGAAAAACAACTTCCTGTCTGCCTCTGTCAACCCGTCTCTCCTTCTCTTTCCTTTCCTCGAAGCGGCGGCGCCGGCTGGAGGCGGAGCGTCAGCGCCTGGCCGAGGAGGAGCTGCTGAGGAACCAGATGACGATCCGACGGGCCAAGGCAGAGGCCGAGCGGAAACACCAGGAGCGCCTCCACCAGCTGGTCCAGCAGCAGGAGGAGAGGGAGCGGGAGGAGAAGGAGGAGTCCAGGAGGAAGAAGGAGCTGCTGGAGCAGATGGAGAGGGAGAAAGAGCGACCTGTCGACCACTCCGACATGGTGGACCAGATGTTTGGTTTCCTCGGGGACTCTGGGCCGCTGCCGAACCAGGACGGACAAGGACCTGCTGGATTTGAGGTACTTGTTGATGGTTTTTATAGATATAGATAAAAATGTTAGATTACTTTTTATTAGTAAAAGATCTCAAAGACACAGCTCTCATAAACCTCTTCCATTCTGRAGGCAAATCTCAGCATTCAAGTTGTTTCTGACCTTTGGGTTTTATGTATTTTCCAGACACATAGTTCAATTCTATACCACCATCAAGTAACTGTTGTCTTCAGTTGTTAAAATGCAGCATATATCAAAAATAAATTTGACTTTGCATCATCTAAACACCTTAAAAACTGTTTGACACTCCCACTTCAGGACATCTTCACAACAATGCTTCATGTCGTTTACAACCTTTTATTGGAGCGTTTTATTTTGTTGTAAAAAAAAAAGAAGCAACATTGTATATTAAATGATCCTACATCAGTACGTTTTCTGTAGAACCGGAGCGAGTGCAGAGGTTCTTATGAGACATTTCAACTCGGTATCTCTCGGTCGTCCTCTCGTACATGATACTTGAACATTAAGATACTTTTTGAGAGGAAACTATAAATATAGATCATTATGAAACCATGTTTTTAGGATCRATTTTGCTAACCTGGTGGAGCTCTGTGGGGCAAGAGCTCTGCTGCAGACTGAGCTCCAGGGAGGAGCTTTGTACAAATAGGCGGAGCTTCGTATGAGCAAGCATTCATTTAGCTCTACAGAAGATTCAAGGATTTCTCAAACATGAATGAATGAGTCAAAGCAACACTTAGGAATGCACCGATATGAAAATTTCAGCTGATTTCAATATCCGATATTATTGGTGTTATGGCCAAAAACTGATATTTACCAATATTACACAAACACACAAATTATGTATAGTGTTAGAAAAATTAATTATCAAGATTCTTGACAAAAGGAATAACGAACAAGCAGCAGATCTGATTACTGAGCTCTCTTTTACTTGCAAGGAGTCCAAATAAAGACACTGTACTTRCATACAGTTGTCAGTAGCATGAATTGAATTTCTGTACATCAGTCAGGTTTTTAAAGTGTCCTCCTGTTATACGACCACGCTGTCTCCTGTTCCAGGACCTCCAGTTCCTTTACCCCGACCCACCTGTCTAATATAGCGGGTTGAAAAAGTAACTGAACTCTATAATCTAAGTTAGCAGTTTGGGAAGTCAAAGATCAACATCTGTGTCTTCACTCTAACAGCATTACTGAATACAATAAATGAGGTCATGTAAAAACAAAACACAGATCAAACATTAATATATCTTGTAATTAAATGARTCATAATATTTTAAATCACAATTTAACCAACATATAGATACGCACAAATACACTTGTCTTTTTTCGATACCATAAAAAAATTACCGGACCGCTGACATGGCTCTCTACTGGAGTTATTCTTGACTGTGCATCAGTAGCACTGTCAAGATCAARCAGATATCACTCGACCAAACATTTCCCCTCCAGAAACAGAAACACAAAGCGAAAGTGGGAAATGCATGTTGGACGTTAATATTGGCTCAGTTTTCTGATCTCTCACCCGACGTTGTTTCCTCAGGACCTGGAGAAGACGCCTCGAGGTGAGGAGGCAGAGGAGGTGCTGAACGAAGCTCCTCCGCTCCCCGACGAGGACGAGGAAGATCTGTCTGAGTACAAGTTCTCCAAGTTCGCTGCCACCTACTTCCAGGGCGTCTCCACTCACACCTACATCAGACGGCCGCTGAAACAACCGCTGCTGTTCCACGAGGACGAAGGAGACCAGCTGGTGAGGCTGAGCTGCTCAAACCTCGCCTTGACCTTCTAACCGGAACAGATGTTTTCGTTCTAAATACTAAGTGTTAAAGAGAGATAATCTGTGACAAAACGCTGAGTTAAACGCCCCATCCCGTTCTGCAGGCAGCGTTAGCCGTGTGGATCACAGTGTTGAGGTTCATGGGGGATCTCCCGGAGCCGAAATACCAGATGGTCCTCAACGACGGCAGCGAGAAGATCCCCGTTATGACGAAGATCTACGAAACCCTCGGGAAGAGGACCTACAAACGAGAGCTGCAGGAGCTGCAGGTGGAAGGAGAGGTGAGGCGCCGCATTTCTTATTACCAGTCTGGTTCGTAAAGGATTTCATGAAGTGTTCGTGTCAACAGAACAGCTCCACGGACACTCAGAAGAGGAACAGCGTCAGACATAAACTGGTGTCTCTGACGCTGAAGAGRAAATCAAAGATCACAGAGGAGGTAAATGGATAAATACGTAACTTTGAACATAATAAGAGGTAAAACTAGTAAAGACAGACATTAAACGGCTCTAAGTTTCGTCTCTCAGGTCACCAGGAGGCTCACAGAGGGCAGTGACTACGTTCTTCAGGGCAACAGCATGCTGGAGGACCGACCCACTTCCAACCTGGAGAAACTTCACTTCATCATCGGGAACGGTATCTTACGGCCGGCTCTCAGGTTAGCAGTCTTAAAAAAAAAAACAATAGGGTGAGTTTTTGAGGGCGTATTCAGCCGATCATGTTTCGGCTCGTTGTTTCAGAGACGAGATCTACTGTCAGATCTGCAAACAGCTCAGCCAGAACCCGTCTAAAAGCAGCCACGCCCGCGGGTGGATCCTCCTGTCGCTCTGCGTGGGCTGCTTCGCCCCCTCTGAGAAGTTTGTCAAAGTACGATGGTGGTTTGTGGTTTTTTTTTTTTTTTTACCTGGTGAAAATGTGGTGATTTTAATTATCTGCTCCTCTCCTTCMTGCTCTGTTGTCAGTATTTACGGACCTTTCTGAAGAATGGTCCTCCTGGTTACGCTCCGTACTGCGAAGAAAGGCTGAGGAGGACTTTTGTCAACTGCACACGAACACAACCTCCATCCTGGTTGGAACTGCAGGTACCGAACGTCGTGTTCACAGCTAAGATCTGTTAAAAGGCTAACTTTAGGTAATGCTTGCTAATTTTTTGTTTTGTTTCCTCCAGGCCACAAAGTCCAAGAAGCCCATCATGCTGCCTGTGACCTTCATGGACGGGACCACTAAGACGCTCCTGGCGGACTCGGCCACCACGGCCTTCGAGCTCTGCAACGCTCTGGCGGACAAGATCAACCTGAGAGATCGTTTCGGCTTCTCGCTGTACATCGCTCTGTTTGATAAGGTACGACACCAGGGGGTCCAAATCACATGTACGAGGGGCCATAATTCAAAACTTTCAAAACAATTCTGTCAATATTTATTAGAGATGTAAGGATTTGATTATAAATTATAAGTTCACAATTATAATTTTTTTTTAATGAATTGTAGCCATTTTATAAACAAATATTATTATTATTATTATTTTGTCTTTAAATTACGGTGTTTTTGTCCTTGTATCAAACTGTAACTGTAGTAACAACATATAACTTTAAAATAAATAAAAATGTCATCAAAAATCCAACTGTGACCAAAAATGATGAAGTATCAAAGACATAACTTATTATGTAATAACAATAAAATCGATTCATTCCTTTTTAAGAATCAATTAACATTTAAAGTAGTTTTAATCAATCATTATCAATTCTGGATTAATTGTTACATACATAAACATATTTATTGAAGAAATGTTATGTAACAAAATAATCTTATAGAAATACAAATAACCTTACCTAACAGATAAAGAAAAAATATTAGATTTAGAAACTCAACTTTCATTTCTTATGCCTTACTCTCAATTAATTTTTATTTATTATATATTAAAGATATATTTTATCAAAATCCAGCAAATGAGTTAAAAAAAGAAATCCTCAATAAMAATCCAGTTATTTTAAAAATAAAAAAGATAATACAGAAAAGGATCCGTAAAGTCGATTCTCTGTTGATTTTTCCACACCAAAATCAAAAATTACTTAACAATTTAAATGTAATTTTCTTTCATGAGAAAAAGAGAAACCATAAAACTATTTTACAGTTAAAGTATTAGCTTTGGGACCTGATAAAATGATAACAAGGGCCATATTTGGCCAGCGAGCCTTGACAGACACGTGTGAGCAACATAAAAAGGACACGCTCCGCTCCGCCTGCTCTTTGTCCGTCAGGTGTCGTCCCTCGGAAGCGGCAGCGATCACGTCATGGACGCTGTCTCGCAGTGCGAGCAGTACGCCAAGGAGCAGGGCGCCCAGGAGAGGAACGCCCCCTGGAGGCTGTTCTTCAGGAAGGAGATCTTCAGCCCCTGGCACAACCCCATCGAGGACTACGTGGCCACAAACCTCATCTACCAGCAGATCGTCCGAGGGGTGAAGTTTGGGGAGTATCGCTGCGAGAAGGTGAGCCGTCAGCTCTGAATGAATAAAATAACAAACCGGTCCGAGCTTCCCCTGGAACCGTGTCTCCTCCAGGAGGAAGATCTGGCAGAGCTGGCCTCTCAGCAGTACTTTGTAGATTACGGCTCTGAGATCCTGCAAGACCGCCTGCTCAGCCTCATCCCATCCTACATCCCCGACAGAGAAATCACCTCCACCAAAACCACGGAGAAGTGGGCTCAGCTCATCATCAGTGCCCATAAAAAGGTACCGCCTTCCACCAAAACCAGAACTTTTAATTATCAAACACATAAACCTGACCTCCTCTCAGGGATTACATAACAAACGGAGGCTGAACACTCAGAAGGTGAAGGAGGATGTGGTGGATTTCGCTCGGTTAAAGTGGCCTTTACTCTTCTCACGTTTCTACGAGGCCTTCAAGTTCTCAGGTGGGTACTGTTCACTCCATCATAACGTGACATTTAAATACATTTCAGTGAAGATTTGAATGGATCTGCTCACAGGGCCCAGTCTGCCCAAGAATGACGTCATCGTGGCGGTAAACTGGACTGGCGTTTACTTTGTGGACGAACAGGAGCAGGTTCTCCTGGAGCTGTCGTTCCCAGAGATCACAGCTGTATCCAGCAGCAGGTAAAACAGCTGAAACCTGCCCCTGCAAACAGAAACTTTGGTTTTAAAGGTAGTTTGTTTAAAATAAAGTTACATTTTCCAGAGGAGGGAAGCTACAGGGTCAGAGTTTTACACTGGCCACCATCAAAGGAGACGAGTACACCTTCACCTCCAATAACGCAGAGGACATCCGGGACCTGGTGGTCACCTTCCTGGAGGGTCTGAGGAAGAGGTCCAAATATGTGGTGGGACTGCTGGACTGTCCAAACCCAGGTGAGCTCCGGTCCTGGTTTGAGAGCAGGTCCTGCTTTGCATGAACCGAACTGAGACGTTTCTGTGACTTGGACCCGACAGCGGGGGTGGACTCCACCTTCCTGAGTTTCTCCAAGGGGGATCTGATCGTTCTGGACGAGCACGACGGCGAGCACGTGATGAACTCAGGCTGGGCTCACGGCACCAACGATAAAACCAAACAGAGAGGAGACTTCCCTGCAGACTGCGTCTACGTGCTGCCCACCATCTCCAGGCCGCAGTATGACATCGTGGTGAGTGTTGCAGAACGATAACAACCTCAGTCGCTCATCATCATACTCGCATTGACTCTGCCGTGTCTTCATCTAGATTCATGTTGGAGTGAGCCAGCTTCTCTCACCTGTTTATTAAAAACATGTTTAGCCACACGTGGGGTCAGATTTATAAAGGATTGCGTGGAAACCATACTAAAAGTGAACGTACGGCCAAAGGGCAGAAATGGCATTTGCCAAAAAAATTCAGATTTATAAAACCGTACGTACGCATGTTTCTGCGCATCTTTCCTTTTTAGATCACAGCCGCACATCAGAGTTTGTGCACAAGGTCCCACCTCAGGTTCTGCCCTCTACACGCCCACGCTCAACCATAAACAGTCAATGTAAAGTACCTCATGAATGTTAAGATGCATTTAAATCAGTCAGCTGATCAATGTCAAAAGAAGTGGTTGGCTCAGACACGCCCGTTGTGCGTCTGGAGGATGACAGGTGCTGACGTGAACAGAATGTCTGTAATTGACACAGATTTTCCCTCTTTTAGAGTAATCTAACGATTTTTATTTAAAAAAAACTCAGCTTCAAATTAATTTTCTCTCAGAGATTGTAGGACGATAAAAACAATAAAAATAAAATTAAATAAGTCAGATAAAGTTAGAAATAAGTCCACCGCTCTTCTCCCCATCCTCTCCCMCTCCTGCCTGCTCTGTTATCTGCGGTAGACTCCCCCCACCCCCGCGCACACACACATCTCCCCCGCGCATGCGCGTGTGACAAACACGGACTTTAAAACGTAAAGTTTTATAACATCCACACTGGCGAGGGTGGGCGCGCCCTGCGCGTGTATCAAAAGTGTGACTTTTTTTGCTGTCGTGTGGAGGGGTCTTTGTGGGTCAGGGTCGTCTGAGGAGGAAGGAGATGAATGGAGTTGCGCGCGGGAACTTTTATTTAAGATTTAAGTTTTTTTTATTTCAAAGGTCCTTATAGCTCAGCAGCAGAAGCATAAATATTACTGTTAAGAAAGCTAAATAAATAAATAATCTAAGTTTGATTTTGAATGATGAACTGTAATGTGGGTGGAGCCAGATCTTCTTGTCAAACATTAACACTCAACAAAAGGAATGGGCTCAGATCCTTACAGAAACACTTTTTTTTTCTCATGCAGTGTTCGGTTAGTATCTTACCTGCAGCAGACAACGGTCAAAGGGAAGTTTTTGTGTAGTTGAGCTAAAATTTGTTTGTGTTCCATCACAGAATCAAACATTGACACTGAATGTCTCTTTATTAAAAAGTCTAATGACGGCCGTGTCAGTTTTAACCCCTTCCTGTTCCCAGGCTCTGGTGACGATGACTCCAGATCAGAGGAGAGAATCCATCACTTTGTCTCAGATGAGTCTTTCAGAGCAGGACAAACCGAAGGCCTACACGCTGGAGGAGTTCTCCTACGACCACTTCAGGTGCAAACGACGACTCTTACAGAGAAAATATAGGAAGAAGAGAAGAATATAATGCTTGTTTTTGTTTTGTTGTTTCCAGGCCGCCTCCAAAGAGCACTCTGAGCCGAGTGATGATCTCTAAAGCTCGAGGGAAGGAGCGTCTGTGGAGCTGCACCAGGGAGCCCCTCAAACAGCCCCTGCTAAAGAAAGTCCTGGTCCATGACGAGCTCTCCCAGGAGGCCTGCCTGGCCTTCACTGATATCCTTTTTCAGTTTTCTGTTCATGATTAGATGGTTTAAATATTTCACCAAGATCGTAGAAACAAACCGTAAACACGTCCTTGACCGTCCGTACCCATAATGAAGTACATGGGCGACTACCCGTCCAGACGAGTTCGATCCGTCAACGAGCTCACCGATCAGATATTTGAAGGAGCGCTGAAGGCCGAGCCGCTGAAAGATGAGATCTACTGTCAGATTCTCAAACAGCTCACAGATAATCACATCAAGTGCGTCTCAAACAGGTGTTTTTGTTCCAGGTCTTAACTGGAGCAAATAAACTCACAGCAGAGGTGTGTTTGCAGGTTCAGTGAGGAGAAAGGCTGGGAGCTGCTGTGGCTCCTCACTGGTTTGTTTCCTCCCAGCAACATCCTGCTGCCTCACGTCCAGAAGTTCCTCCAGGCCAAGAAGCACTTCCTGCTGGCTCCAGACTGCATGCAGCGGCTGCAGAAAGCCTTACGGTAAAAAGCTACGCACCTTCACCTTCACTCTGTCCTGCAGCTGCTTCATGGTTCCTCTTCGTGTTTTTTATTCACGACAGGAACGGATCCAGAAAGTATCCTCCTCACCTGGTGGAGGTGGAGGCCATCCAGCACAAAACCACCCAGATCTTCCACAAGGTTTATTTCCCCGACGACTCAGACGAGGTCAGTGAAGTCCAACARGTCTGGCTCAGTTTGGTCAGATGCTTTCAGTCTGTACCTTTTTAAAAATCTGCATTTTATGTACAAAATGTTCATAAAATGCAGGAAAGATGTTCTGTTTAAAATGTATTTGGAGCAGAGGGTACACAACAGAAAACAGGAGAAATAAAAAACGAGTCTTTTAATCTAATCTGTGGTGACTTCCTGTTAGCTCTGTGCTAACGTACCTGCAGTCATGAAAACATCTGTCTGAGTTTGATCTTTGCTTAAGACCTCAGAGTTGAGATACTTCTTTATTACATTATGTTAAGAATTCTCATCTGGCACTTTTTTGTTTGTTTGTTTTCAGGTGTTTGAAGTGGAGTCGAGCACAAAGGCCAAAGATTTCTGCCACAACATCTCCGGTCGTTTGATGCTGAAATCCTCCGAGGGCTTCAGCCTCTTTGTTAAGATCACAGACAAGGTGAGTCACTTTGTGGCTCGATTAGAGGAAGGTTCAGCCCAAGTCCTCAACTGACTGATGTTTCCACTGAGATMGTTTCAGTCATTTATGAGCTGCTGGTTGATGCAAAGCTTCAGACGGAGACAAAAAWGTGTGTTTTTATTKGTTTTGAAGCTGTTTTTTTTTTCCTTTGGATATTTTTCTGTAATTTACGTTTTACTTCCTTGTTTCTTGGCCAGCTGTCTTTTGTTCTCTTTATTTTCTTACTTTTCCTTTATTTTAGTTTTAGTTGTGATTTCTAAAAGTTTCTTTTAAGGTGGTATTTCACTGAGCTGCAGCCATCGGCAGTTTAGTTTTTGTAAAATAGTGAGACGTGAGTTTTCTGATGCAGCTTTACTGAATGTTTCCAACCAGTGAGCCAGTCGATTTTAAGTTCTTTGTTGTGCAAAATCAACATTTTTTTAGCGTTTATATCATGTTATGTCATTCCCTCATCAAAAACACACCCAGAGTTGCTTTGACTCATTCATGTTTGTCTGTGATCAATCACTGCTTCATTTCTGACTGAAACTTTCATTAGATCAGATCATTCAAAACTGACCCAAATTTTTTATTCCTCATATTTTAAATTTATAGGCTGTTTGTTAATCAGTTCAGCTGTTTTATAAAGCCAAGGCTGTGTGAAACTTGCTTTTGCTTGTATAAAAGGATTTTAAACTGTCTTCTAATAATAATTGTGTAATTATTACTATAAATAGACTGAAACTGTTCTCCTGAAGTGACACCAGGTGTCACTGTTCTCCTACATTCAGCTTGTAGCTCTCCAATGTCTGTTTTCCTGCTGAAAAGTCAGAGTTTTGTTTCCTCTGCTCTCGCAGGTCATCAGCGTTCCAGACGGTGACTTTTTCTTCGACTTCGTCAGACATCTGACTGACTGGATAAAAAAAGCCAGACACGCGAAAGATGGTAAAAAAAACAGTGGAGTGGTTTAATGTCTGTGTTTCTCCTCTCTGACGGCTTCTTTCCTCACCTCTGTGTCCAGGAAGTGTCATCGTGCTGCCTTCACTGACCTATCAGGTGTTTTTCATGAAGAAGCTGTGGACCAACACGGTGCCAGGAAAAGACTCCATGGCCGACTCCATCTTCCACTATTACCAGGTGAACATCGAGCCACATATACGACGGAGTTAAACTTTATTTAAGCTGCTATTTTCACAGAATGAGACTAATCAAGCAGTTTAGTCTTTATTTTTTCAAAAGCAGTTTTAAAACCAAACCTGAACTTTTACAAAGTTTCTCTGATTGTTTCTGGTCAGGAGCTGCCCAAGTATCTGCGGGGCTACCACAAGTGTTCGAGGGAGGAGGTGAACCAGTTGGCAGCTCTGATCTACAGAGTCAAGTTTGAGGAGGACAAATCCCACCTCCAAAACATCTCCAAGATCCTGAAGGACCTGGTCCCCCAAGACCAGATCCGACTGCTGAGCCCGGAGGACTGGAAGAGGGTGAGTAGATAATAAATATTAGACTTTACTGAAGTACGAGGCTGTTTTTAAACCTGTTTGTKTTTTTTTTTACCCATCAGTCCATCATGACATCGTTCAGCAAGCAGTCAGGAAAAACCCGTGAAGACGCCAAACTCTCCTTCCTCAAAATCATCTACAAGTGGCCGACGTTCGGCTCGGCCTTTTTTGAAGTCAAGGTAAAACAGATTTAACAAGCAGTAATAAATAAAATGTACAGCTCTTCTCTGATGTTTGATCTGAACACATCTGCAGCAAACGACCGACCCAAACTACCCAGAAACCCTCCTGATAGCCATCAACAAACACGGCGTCAGCCTCATCGACCCCAAGACCAAGGTAGAGAGGATGCTGAACGCCTCCAGGTTTTAGCTCTTGGTATTCCTGGAACGCAGACTGAATCTGTGCTGAAYGTTTCCTGCAGGACATCCTGACGGTCCACCTGTTCACCAAGATCTCCAACTGGAGCAGCGGGAACACCTACTTCCACATCACCATCGGGAACCTGGTCCGAGGCAGCAAGCTGCTCTGTGAGACGTCTCTGGTGAGCAGAYGAGTTACTTTATACCACCGATGGTGCCAGATCAGTGTCAGCCATCTTGCTGAGTGCTACACCGTCCATTTATTCTTTAAACATCGAAGCCGCAGAGAGACATACTTTACTTATTGTTCATTTGAAGTTCTTTATCTTTAACTTCATTTAAACTAATATTTTTTCTAAAAACTTTCATCCAGCTTTATTTACTCAAAGTATATCTCCAGTTAGTTGGTAGAACTTAACTCCCTGCTTCATATTGACTAAAACAAACAGGATGTCAWTAATTAGAAATGGTCAAAACATTTGGCTCCTCAGGTGAGTTCAGTTTTTCTGATACACAGTGTAGCACCTACCAAGATGGCAACAAATTCTCACCTCATCAGCATATTTTAATTCCCGTGTTTTGAAAAGATCCTAAATTTACCTTTCAGACATGAACAAAGAGTTGAACTTTACAAGAATGTACCGCCTCTTTCAGGGCTACAAGATGGACGACCTCCTGACCTCCTACATAAGCCAGATGCTGGCGACGATGACGAAGCAGAGGACGTCCCGAAGCAACAACAGCAAGTGATCGCTGAGTAAAAACACACGATTTCATTCATCTAAACATCCTGGGTCCTGTCTTAACTCACCTTCTGCCTTTAAATGTCAAAACTAATCAGTTTATCTTAGATAAAACAAGCATTTCAGCTCAGCTGAAACCTGAAGAGTTGATAGTTTAATATCTTTACATAAGAATCATTTTATGAACTTTTTTACCAACCAGATTTCATAGTTTRGTTTGGTTGGATTTAGTTTAATTAGAACCAATCAGGTTTTATTTTCTTCATTCACACCTAGTTAAAGTTATTTTACCTGTGATGTAAACTTTATGTAGGATTTAATAAATGTTTTGTAAAGAAAACATTTGACTTCTTCGGCGTTTACATTTCATTTATAAAACCTGGTTCACTCCTGTTCATGAGTTTTGGAGGAGTTTAAAACTCAAATATTACACTTCTAAAGTCACTTGAGGATTTAATCCAGTTTTTGCCAAAAACCAGTCAGGGCTCATTGATGGGGACTGGACCCGATGTTGTCTGAGGGCTGGAGACGGACCAGATGTCCCCCATCTCTGAGGAGACCAGAGAAAATCTGGATTAAAACACAGAAGAACGTGAATGAAGTGTTCCGACATTCACAGTAAATTTACCCGTTTTGAACTGAACGTAGGCGTTGCTCTCCTCCTGCGTTAGAACACCGACTGAACAGGAAGTCAGTTGTCGCTCTCGCCACCTGAAGTTAAAATACTCATCTGTTGATACCTGCCAGAGGAAACATAAACCAACAGTTTTACAACCCAAACATTGAGACTCACCAGTGAAAGTAGAAGATGATGAAGATCAAGACGGAGGAGAGGAAATCTGTGAGAATCCACATCTGGTTGTACTCGTTTGGACTCTGAGGGGAAACAAAAAAAAAGTATATTTTACAGCAGCGACAGARACAAAACCAGATTTCTCTCATTTATTTTACGTTTTCTGTAAATTGTAACATTTTGTTGAGCTCCCACATGCTGTAATTAAATTAATTCATTCCATCATAAAATCAACCAGAAATATCTTAATGTTTCTTTTACACCATGTCCCTTCACAATAAAAGCCTCAATGTTAGTTAACACTTTAGAACAAATACGTCACATCAGGCAATAAATTTTAAAAATTGTACAGAATTCCAAAGTCAGGATTAGAACAGCTCTGAGTACAAACTTATGTTTGCTAAGAGAAAAATAAGGTTAAATGAGTTAAATGCCTGAGATTTTTGAGGAGAGAAACATGTTTGTAATCAGACTCACCACAAGGAACTGGGGGGCTCTGATGGTCCGGAGCAGCTGGGGGGCGTTTGTGGTGACCGAGTGGACTCCGGAGCACCAGGCCAGAGAGAAGAGCCACGGCTGGCTGACCACGTACAGGTTGGTGGAGACGTTGGCTGCAGCGTACTCTCTGAGAGGATCAAGTCATGTTCAGGAAACCGCTTCTCAAAACTTTAAGTTTCTATTTTCAAAATAAAACACCTGACGAGCTCCGCAGACATGGAGCTGTAGGGTAGGTTGAGTTTGACGATGTYGTCGAGCCGCAGCTCCTCCGGAGACCGACGACTTCCTGAAGTCTGCTGCAGCTCCGGGTCGGTCCGATAGACCCAAGAGCGCTGGTGTGATGGCAGCCAGAGCACCTGAACGCAACACAAACACAAAAATAACTCACAATCCACACAGTCAAACAACAGCTCCCAGCTTTAAGTCTGATTTAAAGAAATTAACTCCACTACAGAGAGGCGTCTTTTTAAATCTTGATTTAATTTATTAAAATAAGTTATTTTCCTCTGAAAAATAAAAATAACGGCAAGTTTTTGGTTTTGTTTTAAAGTCTAAACTTGAAAATTTTCTCACATTTTTTTTCCATCAGTATGAACAAATTACTGCATCTACCCCTTTTTTTAATATCAACTCGTTTTTATTTATGGCAGCTGATCATGTGATTTCATCTGAAAGTTAGCAAAATATCTCATGAACCAGTGGACGAGATTCTATGACCACTGCAGCTTTGAAACAAAAAAAGAAAATGGAGTCATTATTAAAGACGCTAAGGGTCATCCTCAACACAGTCTAAGGTACGTGTCAAACTCAAGGCCCGTGGGCCAAATCTAGCACTAAAAGTGACACTTTAAATATTCAATTTCATTCATAAAAACTACTGTATTTATTCATGTATAATACTTGAAATTTAACCCTAAAAATTATCCATAAAGTGGGGGGGCGTAGTATTATACATGGGTTATTTTTTTATACATGGGTTATTGATGATTACATTTTTTATGCTTAATTTTTAAAAAAAAGATTGTATTATACTCATATTATAAATGAGTAAATACAGTAAATCTAAAAAGTAAATCATGCCTTGCCTCTTATTTAAAAAAACAAAACCACTTCAACAAACTCTAGCTTMAATAATCTCCATATATATAAAAAATAAAACAAAACATTTTATATCTTTGTATCTTATTTCCACTAAACACCACAAATGGTATTTTTTCCCAATAATTACGACTTAATCATCTTTAAACGTGAATAGTATTGTAGGGGTTTTTATAATAATTCCACCAACTTTAATTTTATTATTTTTCTGTATTTTCTTTAAATTTTAATGTCAATTGGATTTTTAGTGAGGGTTTTCTTTTTTTAATTGATTTGTGATTAAATGTATCTTTAAGATAAAATAAATTTAAAAGGTGTTGAGAGAAAGTTACTTGTTCTAAATGCTACTTTCTATAAGAATAATTTTGTTTGAAAACTTTTTTTTTTTTTTCAATAAATAGACAGAAATCAGCCCGTCTTGGAGCAGGTTTTGAATTTTGGCCCCTTGGCTCTAAGGTTTGTGGGAGCAGCAGGTCCAGAAGAGAAAACGCTGAACTCTCACCTGTGAGGACTGGATGTGTGACTCGTGGATGACCTCCAGCGTTCGTTGGATCCAGTCATAGYGGTGCGGGTGACTTGTGGGCGGCCGGTAAAGGTCAAAGATCACCAGTTTCTGGGTCCACGCTGCCAGCTGGAGGTAGGCCTGCAGGCTGCAGACYGACTGGTTCCCCGCCTGCCTCCGCTCCTCCTCCTGCAGTGACCTCACCGTCCCAAAGGGGTCTTGCTGGAGGGGAAATGGATCAGTGATCATTACTGTGATCCGTGTTTCCATCAAGTCGGCTGCTGTTCCTCCTCCTGATGGAAACTTTCCTCATTTCTCTTCCATTTAAATCAAACTGAAGAAAAAAAACTTTAGCTGCTGCTTAAATAAAAACATTTGAAGAGCTAAAGGTCCTGAGTGTTTCAGCTGTTTGAGAAACTTTATTACTTTTTACAGCTTGATTAGATCGGCATCATTATAACAAACGTTTAACATCTTAATAAATAAACCTGATGGTTAAAGATTTTCTGACTCACTGAGAGGAACCAGGACCCGGCGTTCAGCCTCTGCAGTTCGCTCCAGGTGAACATGGCCGCCGGGGTATTGGTCCTGTTGGGGAAAACCTCGTGGATGTTGGTGGTGCGTCTTAAAGTGTCATCGTGCATCAGGAAGGGCACGCCGTCCAAACTGTGACGGTGACAGAAACCGTAAACCTCACGGTTTGATTTTTTTTTTTTTTAAACAAACCACCGCAGCTCGTCGAGACTTCTGAACTCACACTGACCTTATGGTGACGTCTGTCTCCAGGCCGGCGCTTCCTGCCTCCACGGCCTTCTCGAACGACATCAGGGTGTTTTCTGGAGCGAGCTGCGGAGCGACAGAACAGAACCAGATTGTTCTCACGCAGCAGGAAACCCAAACACGCAGGAAATGTTTCTTCAGTGTAAATATTTATGATGAGTGCAGAGCTGGGAGCTGAAGCAGAGCAAGTGTCTAAAATCACAGACTGATATAAAAACATTTCTCCCCAGAAGAAAAAACTGCAGCTGTGGGAACAGAATCTGTCCCGTTTGAGCTCTTCAACAGGAAATTATAAAAAATGTCTCAAAGTTTGAGCCTCTGGAGGTCAGATTCTGCTGCTTTTTATTTAAATACCACAAACTAAAGGCTTTTCTGCTTCATGGGGACTTTTTTGATTTAAAAACATCATTTTTGTTTGACTTGGATTAAAACGGGCAAAYTCTGAAAGGTTAGTTTTCAAACTCTAGGCCAGCAGAGCCAAATCCTGGACCTCGAGGGACAGGGACCTGCATGTTTAGAAGYCTCTCATTCAGTCAAACCAGGTATCAAAGCAGAGAAACATCTCAAATTTTCTTGTTTTGATCAATAAAATAAACTTTGTAAGAAAGTTTTATTCAAACATAAAAACGGGGCTCTGACGCTCCTGATTTGAGTAAATGTTATTAACGAGCTTCTGTAGAACCTGAAGAGCAGAAAACGACTAAAACACACTCAGTCCTGGAGGTCACTTTGAAAAACGATCATTTTTCTCAGGGTTTAGTCAAACAGTCGGTGTCTCCGCTTACCATGGGGGCTCCTCTGTGACCCATGATGGCCGGGGCTGGGCCCAGAGTCCCCTTCTCTTTGATGCAGGGGGAATACAAACCGAGAGGCACCAGGTAGAGGACCAACAGGACCGCCARGTAGACCCCCAGGATCAGACCCCTCCTCACTGAAAGACCAGGACTCGGGTCACTGAGCAGATCCACTCAATCAACTAGGCACCCCACAAACCACAGCTCACCTCTGCATTTCATGCGAAAGACATGCAGAGCCACGGGCCAGGCCAGTGGCGTCATCAGTAAGACTCCGCCCACGTGAAGGTACGGCGCCGTCACCTGGTCGGGTCGTGAAACATCTGAGATGAGAACCGAGAAGACAGCGGTGGACWGCTGGGCGTCGGACTCACCTGGAGAGACAGCAGCACCGTCATCCATTCGTCTCCCCACAGTTCGGTCAGGACGGTGGTGGTRGCGATGGCGAACGTCAGGCTCACCAGGATCCCGACCTGAAGAGACGAAAACATCAGCTTCACCCTCGGGTTATTAACAATCATGTTGATTAATGAGTTAGAAAATAAGGTCAGTCTTCCCGGAACGCAGGACAATGTTGAAGTTTTTCTTCACCWGTTTTGACACCAGAACACTTTGAAACGAGTTCATCAACTCTCCACCACCGTGCTGACAGTCTCCAACATGACGCTGTGCATTATGGGTAAACATCTTTTCTTTTTGCCCCATCTTTTTTTTTCAACTTTTGCAAACAAGTCATGCTGCCGTGTTTTTAATTTTGTTTTGAAACGTGTTCCAGTTTGAAATCTTTATTAACCATCTGGTCACCTTTAATTGTAGACTCTGATCACTGCACAGTCTGACCTCTGGGTGAATTTATTAGGGCGTCTTTATTTGAAAAATAATAAAGTTATTGTAACATTGTCATTTTAATCTGAAGAGTTTTTAATCCTGACAGGAACCAAATTAAACTGGTGAATGCTAACTAAATCTTTTACCTTGTGACTCCAGTGTAAACGGAGCTTCTGGGCCTCTGACAGCAAACAAACAGCCAGAAGCTGCACAGAAAATCAAGATAAGAACTATCAGGTGAACCGAGTAAAGTCTAAATCGAGATTAGAACAAGAGATAAAGAGACTAAAACTTTCATATTTTATCAGTTCTGTCTCGAGTTCATTCTGCTTCAAACCTGCAGGAAAACTGAAACACCTAAACTTATTTTAAATTTAATCTCTTCTGTAGAGGAAATATTTTATCCAATGTTTGTTTCTCACCATGAGAACAGAGACGTAGCTGAAGAAACCTGCAACGAGGACCAGCAGCACCACAGACCAGGGGAACCAGAAACCCAAGTTCGCAAAGTTAAACCTTCAGAACCAGAGAGGACAGTTATAAAAACACATTTTACCTGCTTTAAAGTGAAAAAAAATCTTTAAGAGAAGAAGAAAGTCTGGTGTAAAACAGCCCAAACCTATCTGAAGCCAACAGAGAGTTTGTTTCCAAACAAATGATCAAAATCTTTAAAAATTATTTCTGATAAAATCTGAGATTATTAATCCTGAACAAGTTCAAGTCCAGACTTTTACAGCCAGAAACACAAACTGATAAAAAAAAAATTTAAAAAAAAGAGTCACTTCTGTTCAGCTGGTAATCATTCAGCTGCCAAAAGAAACTTTCATTTTATCAAACTTCTACAGCTGCAGCGTTTGAGAAAAACTTCGGCTCAGCTTGGAATAAAAACCTGAGAAATTTAATTTCTGCAAAAAAACAAGTGAATGCCGAGCGCTAAAAAAAACTGAGATAAAACCTGCGGAACAGGAGCCAAAATGTAGCTAAAAAACCCTGCAGATGGCAGACAAAATGTAGCTAAAAAAAACTGCAGCTGGTAGCCAAAATGTATCTAAACAAAATGTAGCTAAAAACCCTGCAGGTGGCAGCCAAAATGTAGCTAAAAACTCTGCAAATGGCAGCTAAAAACTCTGCAGATGGCAGCTAAAATGTCGCTAAAAACTCGGCAGATGGCAGCTAAAATGCAGCTGAAAACTCTGCAGATGGCAGCTAAAATGTAGCTGAAAACTCTGCAGATGGCAGCTGAAAACTCTGCAGATGGCAGCTAAAATGTAGCTTAAAAAACCTGCAGGTGGCAGCCAAAATGTAGCTAAAAACTCTGCAAATGGCAGCTGAAAACTCTGCAGATGGCAGCTAAAAACTCTGCAGATGGCAGCTAAAAACTCTGCAGATGGCAGCTAAAAACTCTGCAGATGGCAGCTAAAATGTAGCTGAAAACTCTGCAGATGGCAGCTAAAATGTAGCTAAAAAATCCTGCAGATGGCAGCCAAAATGTAGCTAAAAACTCTGCAGCTGGAATCTAAAATAAAAGAAATCTGAATGTAAGTCTTGAACTTTGAACCAGCAGCAGGTTTTGTTTGCCCGCCTCTTTATTCATGTGAAAAATCTGTTTCTGTTGATTTAAGAGCCGACCACACGTGAGGAAACTCACCAGTCAAAGTCATTGTAGTCGTTTTCTGTTTGTCCCCAGAAGTAGAGAAGCACCACCATGAGGCAGAACGCTGCGACGGTCAGAGTGAAGAAGGYGCCTTCGAACTGCCCAAAATAAAAACTATGATAAAACAATCAAACATTTCTGTGTTGTAAAGTTTTAAACCTTCACAGAAAACAAGCAACAGTGGGTGAAACCAGACGGTTGCAGCTGTCCAAACCTTTCCGCAACAGCAGCTCTCCGGCCGAACGTCGCTCCTCTCGTAGCGGYGCCACCGGCAGCCGTAGAGTGCTGTCAGGAACCAGACGAACCGCTGGTGTTCAGAGCATCGTAGGAGTCTGCTACGAAATCCACTCAGCAGCCGGGAGAAGGTGGACGCCATCACTCAGCCTCAGACACGCCCTGACACACCCACCATCCTGCTCACACCTGAAACACACCTGGGMTGAGTTTACAGCAGCTGAACGATGAAATGTAACGTCTGATCTGTTCTGTTTGTGTTTCAGGAAGAGAAAAGTACGAGCGGCTGCTGGTTCTGGGAGGGGAGGACCGTTTGGGTCGGCTTGACTCCAGAACATTCTTTTGCGTGTGTGTGTGTGTGTGTGTGTGTGTGTGTGTGTGTGTGTCACAAAAACATTTTAATGAGGCTCTTTCTGGGAATAAAAACCCGCTGAAAGCAGGATCCATGAGGAGTTTTATGGAACCGTCCAGACTATTTAGCTGTCATCTCATAATCCAGAGTATTTGTAACTTTCAAAAATAAAAGCCTTTTTATTGTGATTAACACCAAATCTTTGCTCAATATCTTTAAAATCAAACAAAATGTAGCCATTTCAATCAGAACAGCCATTTTGAAAATTTCACAAAAATCCATTCATGAAGTTTAAACAGATGTTGCACGATCACTTAATGCAGGGTTCAAGCTGGGGATCAGTCTCAGCTACTACCAATCCAAATTGTAGCTCATTTTCTGTAAAATTTGCTTTATTGTAGCAATTTTTGTTTTATTTAAGTTTGTTAAAATGTGGCGCTTATCTCTAGCTCTTTTGGCTCCAAAGGTTAATCAGCTGTTGATGCACATTCAGGGATTACTTTCTGCAAGTTGCATTAAAATTCATCCGGTGGTTCGAAAGATATTTTGCTAACAGACGAAGTAAAATCCACTTGTCCTAGTAAAACATTTGATAGCTGCAGATGATAAATCCTGCTTTTATATAACCAAACTTTTTACATAAGTAGAATTCTGTTTGGGGGAAGCTTTCTGCAGCTTAAATGTTATATAAAAGCATCAACAAACATCGACAGGAAGAATAAACTGCGCCAAATGCAGCGATTTTAATAAGTTTGTGTGAAACTAAAGTCAAACAGTCATTTATAACATCTGCTGTACGACTAACAGTACAAATATTAAAAGCGGGTTGAAACGAAGCTTTATTTTGAAAGCCAAACGGAAGTAATGTAACTAACCCGTTATAACAATAGTGCTAGAAACACACACAGTCAGGTGAGTCCAGGAGGACAGCAGGTAATTATAAAAAAAACAAAAACATATTACAGAACAGCTTAATTAAAAATTCACCTCAGGTTTAGTGGTTTTGACAAGTGAGATTCATAAATAAGCTGGATTTGTTCTTTAACTCGGTCATTTCTGGAAATATTGAGGCAGAATGAGTCTCCCCTAGAAAATTGGGACTTTGGGGTGGGATTGGGGGCAAAAAAAAGTCTTATGAACATAAGTATGTGTGTGTCAGTCTGGCAAAAACCTTTTTACAAGTAAATCCTTTGCCTAAGATCTACAAATCAAAGACAACAATAAATGTAAAAATGTGTTCAGAGCTCGAGGGATAAAAGTTCACAATGAGGATCAACAGGAAAAAGTCCTGTTTTGTGTGTGCATGTGATTTTTTTATAACTTGTATAATTATGCATAAAATCAGTTCAAACATTCACACTACTCACCTTTCGTGTTTCAAAGACAACTCAGGGTACAGCATGTGATGATGCATAAAAACAACAATAAAATAACCATCTCCCAGCCCATTCTGGAGCTTGAAATAAGTCTTCCATCTCGTTACATATAAAAGCAAATAAACTGCGGGTTTAGTTGAATTTAAAAAGTAAACATAACAGCTTGAAAATGTTGTTTACCACTGCTGATAAAATTTTGTTGCGACTGCATGATAGATTTTATAAGTTTCATGTGTGATTAAACTGTATAACTAATGGCACAAACAAAATATAATAATAGTTTGAAAATGGATAAAAACGTACGCCCCCGATCCAGTTTAACTTTTAGGTCATTAATTTACGCTTTTATTTTGAAGCCTCTGACGCTCGAGTTCCGGTTACGCGGTGAGCAGCTTGACGCAGCGACGTGGATGATGAACTTTGAAACAATAATCCGCGGCGCAGAAAAGTGCTGGAAGTTGTTTTAATCAGCAGGAACGGTTCGTTTCGGGACATGACTGACCTGGGGGTTTCCGTGTCGGTGCTGGCGGCCGCGGTGCTGCTCTGCGAGGCGACTCGCCGGGCGGCAGCGGCTCCTCTCCGCCGTGCTTATCGGATTTACTTGCTGGAAACCGTCTCCACCTTCCAGCTCTGCAGCTGCACGCATGAACTCAAACTCCTGGGKGAAACGGCCCGGCTGGACCCGTCGATGAGCTCGGCTCTGACGTACATCATCACCGTTATCCACCTGATGACTTTCCGGGGAGCGACCTGCAACCCCAACGCGGTTCTGGAGGGTGTTTGCCGCGGGACCAGAACCGTCAAAGCGGCGGTCGTCCTCATAGCTTTGCAGTTCGGTGCTGCTGTCGCCGCCAGGTACTTCGCTGCCTCCGTGTGGTCGCTGGGTTTGTCGGACATCCACCTCCGGCACCAAAAGTTCGGATACCGATGTTTTGACCCTCTCGGCGGGACGGTTCTGGAGGCTGCGGCTGTGGAGCTAGCCTGCGCTTTCTCGGTCCAGGCTGCGGTCATGCACGCGCACAAAGTGGAGGAGAAGCTCAGGGTGCACTTCCTCGCGCTGGTCATCACCGCAGTGGTTTACGCAGGTGTGTTGATTCACCAGAACAAACTCTTTTCCAGGTGCAGTTCACCCTTCTCATCAGCAGGTGGCGGAAATGTTCCACATTGTTTTATAACCACCAAATAAAACAGTAGAAGAAGAACCTGGAACCGGAAGTAATAGGAGAGCTCTAATTAAACTTTTCAGAAACAAAGCAAAATGTTTAAAAATTAGCAAAACAGATACTAAATCTAACAAAATTGTGGTGAAAAGTTAAATAGTTTGTAAATTCGTAGATAAAGAGCAAAACAGACAATTAGCAAAACATGCATAATAAACTACTTAAGAGTGCCAAAATAGACACTGGAGAGGAAACAAATAGCAAAATTATTGCTAAAATTACCAAAACTATAGCTTAAAAAGTAAAAATAATAGAGTGGTAGCTAAAAGTAGCAAAGCATGCTAATGTTGGATATCATGCAAATTTTACTGGATAAAAGTAACTAAACGAAATGTTAATGAAGACAAATTTGTAAGTAAAAGAAGCAAACTGAATAAAAAGGTTAAAACTTGTGAAATATGCTAACAATAATAAACTTGTTTTTTTATTTAAGTAATTTAAAAGTGTTTAAAATTAACATCGCCCTCCTGTGGTCAAAACCGAAACTACAGCTGATTTTGTTTAAATTGTATGTCGACCTCCTGTGGTCAAACACAGAAACTACAGCTGATTCAGTTTAAAATTAATGTCGCCCTCATGTGGTCAAACCCGAAACTACAGCTGATTTTGTTTAAGTTGAATGTCGCCCTCCTGTGGTCAAACACCGAAACTACAGCTGATTCAGTTTAAAATTAATGTCGCCCTCCTGTGGTCAAACACAGAAACTACAGCTGATTCAGTTTAAAATTAACATGCTCAATATCTTTCAATTTCTCATACTACAATGTACTTGTTCTATATTGTTTTAAAGCCAAGTTTTGTCTTTTTTTATTTGTACCTGTACGACTGATTGTTTTTTGTTTAAGCAAATTAAAAGAATGTTTAAAATTATCATGGCCCTCCTGTGGTCAAACACAGAAACTACAGCTGATTCAGTTTAAAATTAACATCGCCCTCCTGTGGTCAAACCCGAAACTACAGCTGATTTTGTTTAAATTGAATGTCGCCCTCCTGTGGTCAAACACAGAAACTACAGCTGATTCAGTTTAAAATTAACATTGCCCTCCTGTGGCCAAACACAGAAACTACAGCTGATTCAGTTTAAAATTAACATGCTCAATTTCTTTCAATTTCTCATACTAAAATGTACTTGTTCTATATTGTTTTAAAGCCAAGTTTTGTCTTTTATTTATTTGTACCTGTATGACTGATTGTTTTTTGTTTAAGCAAATTAAAAGAATGTTTAAAATTATCATGGCCCTCCTGTGGTCAAACACAGAAACTACAGCTGATTTTGTTTAAATTGAATGTCGCCCTCCTGTGGTCAAACACAGAAACTACAGC